GAAATTACGTGATGCCATCCAACTAATATTGAAAAAAGTTGTAAAGCTATGAAAGTGGAGGGTCCCAGTTCTAGACGGTCCTTGGTGCTAAAGTTCATTTCTGCGGACCATCGGGACAACAATTTCTTTAAGTTTTTATTTGTATTTGCGGACCTTTGTAGTTCACTTTCTGTACCTCGCGGTCCGCCCGTCTTTCTTCTATCTGCCTGTATCGTATGTTTGTCACACCGTCTTCTAATCTTTCCTTCAGACCACGTAAAAGACAACGGTCCACAAAAATGGACCTCGATACAGACTCCATCACTTCGATAGCTTTATACAACATTTTGCATGGGTGGATAGTTTTAAAAATTTATAGTAAGCTTTCCATGAGTGGACAGTTTTGAAGAGCTCTCAGTGTCGTCAAGTCCGTGTAAAATATTAGTATTTCGATGGGTAGACGGTAGATTATTATGGTATTATTTTGGGCATCTAAATATAAGGAGCATTTCAATAGAAAGTGTCCAGTATTTTCAGATTGATGACCACATTTACCGGATGGATTTTCAGAAATATTATTAGATTGCTGCAAGAGAGACGCAGTTTACAATGAATGATTTGATTTACGCGGGACCCAAACGAAAACATTTTAGGCGGTGTTGAATCTTGTGCCATAAGTTTCGAATTGAAATTATTTACAGATATATTTTGTCTGCGTTTAATATGTTCCATTCCCAAATTGACGAAGGTATGAAAGAAATATAGAAAATATTTGTTTTACATTGATATTCAGGTAGACTGGTTTTACGGAGATTATAATGTGCGCTTTTTGTCAAGATTAAGTAATGGAACTAAGTGCATTCTTTAATTCTAGTCTTCTATAGTATTTGGACCTGCATTATAGGATTTTCTACGGGTTTATGTGAAAGATTTTATATGAAAATACTAGTATTCTATAGATTTTTTTTTTATAGTGCTGCCTGTAGGAAAGGTGGAAGTTGCGTAAGGCTGATTGGGCTCTTTTTGAATCTTTGTGTCTCTTCTCTTTTGACGCAAAGGAGTTAGAAGATGCAGATGAGCCCATGGCCTTATTCACTTCAATTCTTCAGGATGTAGCTGAGCAGGCGATTCCGAAGACCACGACTGAGCCCAAACGTTTCAATAAACCATGGTACAATAACGATTGCAAATCCGCTCTTAGAGAGCGTGATCGTATCTTAAGAAACCTTGAGAATCACCCTTCCATGGAGAATATTGCAGCATACCAAATGGTCCGGGCGAAAGCCCGTAGAACCATACGCCAAGCAAAGAAGTCTTCATGGCGGGGTTATGTCTCAAGGATAAATTCCCGTACCACTTCCAAATCGGTATGGGATAGGATTCGTAGAATTAAAGGTATAAGTAGTGCTTTATCAGTTAACCATCTAAATGTTGACAAAACCACCTTAACAACATTTCCTGATATTGCTAATTCTCTGGCCAGTACAATTTCATTCAATTCATCATCCAATTTCTCCTCTGATGCCTTTCGGAGCATTAAACATCAACAGGAGAAAAGGCGACATAATTTCAAGTCCCATAATGATGAATGTTATAATGACAAGTTTTCTATTGCCGAACTCCGTGATTCTATTAAGAGGGTTCGGGATACTGCAACTGGTCCAGATGAAATTCATTACCAGATATTAAAACATTTACTTTTTTTCTGCACTTTTAATATTATTAGATCTTTATAACCGGATTTGGGTTGATGGGAATTTTCCCCCTTCATGGCGTGAAGCCACAATAATTCCCATCCCTAAACCGGGGAAAGATCCTACGAATCCTACCAATTATCGTACGATCGCTTGATTGATCAATCGAAGGCTTGTTTGGTACCTTGAGTCCAACAACCTCATTACAGACCTCCAGTGTGGATTTCGGTCCCAAAGGAGCACTCTTGATCATCTCGTTCGATTTGAAACGTTTGTCAGGGATGCTTTCATCCAGAAACAACATTTAGTTGCTATATTTTTTTGATCTGGAGAAAGCTTATGATACCACATGGAAATATGGTATCATGCGCGACCTGCATAACCTCGGTCTGTGGGTCGCTTACCTATCTTCATTAAAAATTTCTTAGAAGATAGGTCGTTTAAGGTACGCTTGGGATCAATATTCTCTGACCCATTTTCCCAGGAAATGGGAGTCCCTCAGGGAAGTATATTATCTCCCACTCTTTTTTCCATTAAGATAAATACCATACCATCCTGCCTTAAACGTGGGGTCGACGGCTCTCTTTATGTTGATGACTTTCAGATGTGTTACGGATCGACAAGAATGGAGACAATCGAACGTCAGTTGCAGCTTTGTTTGAATTCTATTCAACGATGGGCAACAAACTTCATCACATTAAGCCTCTTTTAGGAGACTGGCCAAACTCCTATAGAACCAACAGGAGGGATGAGGTTGTTTTGTGTCGCTCTCGTATTGGTCATACCTTTTTAACTCATATTTTCATTTTGAAGCGAGAGCCTCAACCAGAATGTGTTCACTGTCATGTTCCTTTGACAGTAAAACACATCTTGATTGAGTGCAATCATCTCAAGTATATTAGAACTAAATATTACCGTTGCCAGTCAATACGTCAGCTATTTGCTCAACCGGAGCTATATGATAAAATACTAACATTTTTAAAAGAGACAAACTTTTATTCTCAATTTTAATTGTATATATTTAATCATGTATATCGTTTTAAATATTTATATATGTAAAAGATTTGTTATATTTATTTTTAATTATATTTTCTGTGATATTTGTTTTTATTTACATATATAAATTCATCTGTGTGATATCGTTTTAATTTGTCTCGTTAGATTCACCATATGTTTGGCGCAATATAGCCCGGTTGGAGCTGACGTGCCATTAAACAACATTTCATTTCATTTCATTTCCTGTAGGAGTTGTATAGTAATGCATAGGAAGGGGTACTGTAGTATTTATTCTATAGTTTGGGAATTGGGTCACTACAGTTTTCAGCAGGAATTGGTATTATAGATTTTTTATAGTATTTATTCTATAGTTTGGGAATTGGGTCACTACAGTTTTCAGCAGGAATTGGTATTATAGATTTTTTATTTAAATTGTTTTTGGGAAAAAGTATAGTTAGCCAATGACTTCTTATAAATTGATAAGCTTATGTTCTGTTGTTGGTTCACTAGTCTGAACCATGACAAGTTTTCTTCTTGATATACAAAGCAAAACAGTTGTCCAAGGGCATCCTATACATTTATTTAGAGATTTTCTGTGGTAGAAATTGATGCTTTACTAATCAACAAGATGATCATTATTTATATCAAAATCATCACATTTCCACCCAATTTTAGACATTGGCTCCCCATGTACCACCTCAAACGCCTAATCAGAATCGAAATCTACCCAAACAGTCGGGCTAGAAAATCTTGGTCTCATAAATTCTTTTCTCCGTGGCGATATGAACATATTATTTAAGTTTTTTCAAAATCGGATGAAGAGTTTCCAAAAGCTAAAAACGCGACTGTTGGTACAAAATTGTCGGGTCATAATCCAGGAAGTTACGGTCCGATATGTGCGAATATCGACAGGAACAGCGATCTTTTGGTTATAAACATACATTTTAAGTTCCATCAAAATCGGATAAAAATTGTGACCTCTGGAGTGTCCACAAGCTATATAAAAACGTGATGTTTTGTACGACCAGGGACCACAATCCAAGAAGTTAAGGTTAACTAAATCGCTAATATTTGGGATCTAGAATTTGACACAAATGGGTCGCGAGAGAGAGAGAGGGAGAAATGGGGTTTAACGTCCACCCGACACAAAATAGGTCATTTTGGGACTAACATATAGTTTTGATTTCATTTCAATAATTCGCTTGCGCGTAGGGGTCTTTAGCAGTGGGAGGAAACCGGAGGACCCGGAGAAAACCCACGAGGTTGGACAGGCGACCCTACTCCTTGTCACGTACAACCGGGGATTCGAAACGACGCCAGTTGACTCAATGACAGGCTTTATGATACAGCACGCACGTGCTAACCATTCGACCATCCAACCCCCGCAAATGGGTCGCAACGCATATATAATAATGTAATATGAATGTATATAAACTGATTTACATTCAATCGTTTCCGTTTTTACTGTAATTTCTAATCAGTTATCGTCCGCGAAATACGCCAGAAGTCTCAATCGAATGGCAATCTCTAGCCTCTGGTTATTCCAGTCTACACCGATAGTATTTATTACGCAGCATATGCTCTCCAGATAAGAATATAGCGTCACTGTTTGACAGGATTTGTGGAATATGTCTTGCCTCGTTCATCGAGTCCCTTGTCTTAAATATTGGATATGAGAAGCCTATTTTTTCTCGGTAAGATCAAACATCAATGTTGATTTAAATTGACAAATAATACATGTTTTCCATGTATAAGTATTTGGATAATATTGAGTTAGAGACTAAGACTTGGCTACTTTAATTACATACCAACATCGAAAGGAACCGAGATCTTTGGGAGATAAACCTATGGCTATATTTTAAATTTCGTCAAAATCGGATAAAAATTTAGACCTATAGAGTGTCCACAAACAAATTTTGCACGGACGGGCTCCCGACGGACAGGAATGACGACATGTCCACCTGAAAATATGGGCATATAAAAATTTCATAATGTATTAAATATTGAATTTTATGTTTCCATATTTTCACGGCATGATATTTTCAACACCAATATTGATTGAAATGAAACAGTATTGAATTTTATTTAATTCGTGTTTTTATTTTCGAGTGTTATGAAAAATATTGAGAGGTTTATCTCCTATTAGTCCATTCTAGTTTATTAAATATTCAAAAGTTCATAAAGATGTCCTTTCCACACAAATTCCTCCCAACATCAACGATTGGTTATTTTGCGCACCTGTATATCTCGGTTATCAAGACGTTATTAAAGTGTATAATATGAACTAAGCGACTGGATAATTACGTCTATCATTACCTGCGCGTACGACAGGACACCTTACCTGTGACTCAAACGTCGAACATCCAAAATGGCGTCGTCGTACAGGGGGACATCGCTTTCTGCATCAACGTACTTTACAGACTACGCAAGTACCATTGGTACTGCTATAGAGAGACCAACGTTAAAGACTCGTATGCAAGATTTCAAGGAATTTCTATCGTCAACAAATGATCAAGGACAGTTTCTTATTTTCGGTAAAAATGCATTGGATTTGTGTGAGTATTTAAGAGCTCTTTTCTACAAAAATTGGGTCATGACTCATTATGAACATATTTACAGTGTAAAATATTTTAACTTTATAGTCATCCAATAGGTATATATGCCTAATTTGACTTTATTTTTTTTACTACCAATAAATTATCCCCAAATTATCTGAATGAAGGCTACAGATCAGATAGGACAACTGTCCATGTAAATCAAACCAGATAAATTTGCATAATGTTTTGTTTACATGTTGGTCTACATGGGGCCTATTTTTTAACGCTCCTTGCTGACTTGCCTCAGAATGATACATCTGTGCTTATAAAATCAAAAATCTGTTTGTCTGTTAGGGACGAAACCCTATCAATAATCAGCATTCAGTGGCAATACTATATACCGGAAAACTACCGTAAAACACCATGTTATACTGAATACCGGGAAACACCGGAAAAACACTATAAATACCGGAAAACACACTAAATACCAGAAAACACACTAAATACAAGAAAACACACTAAATACAAGAAAACACCCTAAATAGGTAACCCGGAGCCTGTAGGGGGGTGTAGGGGTAGGGTTTTCCAGAGGACCCGACTGGGGTTAGGATTAGAGTTAGGGTTAGGTTTTTCCGGTCTTTAGGGTGTTTCCGGTGTTTAGTGTGTTTTCCTATATTTAATGTTTTTCCGGTATTCAGTATAACATGGTGTTTTCCGGTATATAGTATAGCCTGTCCAGAGTTACCACCGAAAACCATTTTTAACAGATTTTTTCAAATTTGGTCCGAATCATTGGAGTCATGACAAATTCATATTGCTTAGCAGTATTCTGCAACCTTCTGTTCCACATTTAGTTATGCCCTTACATGTATTACGAAAACTTTGTACACGCGATGGAGATAAATAGTTTTTAACAGATCTTCATCAAATAGAGCCTTGGTTGTTAATACACATTGAATTATTTAGGAAATAAACTTGTATTACTTGTATTTTAATGGTAAATCTTGAGTCAGTTCTTAACTGATATTTTTTTTTCAAATTCGATATGAAGCATATTGGGACAATTAGAGGATGAGCCCTAATGATTTTCCCTGTTATCTGTCCATCTATTGTATCTTGCTGGGCAACCATGTTTCAATCCGTTCAAAATCACAGCCATCCAACAGAGAGTTTGTTATGGGCTTGTCATGTTGATAAATGTCTAATTAATAATTTATATAACATTTGAAGCCAAAAGAAAAACTTGCAATATAAGCAGATTTAGCTCTTACACAATGCATAGATATTTAACATTAGTCATGAAATTGATGTTTTGACTGTATAATGTGTCAATATGTGTTGATCACTCCAGGATTTTCTTGTAAGTGTGGCACAAGCCAATGATGGAGGGGAAACGATCAATAATTTCTGGCAAAATATGTGTGTCATTTAATGGAGTATGTTCTGCTGGATAAGGAATAAATCAACAGAAATTATTACAACAGTCTGGTTTTGTGGGTTGAATTATATTCAGTTTGAACTAGGATTGGGATTGATATGAATTTTTCATATCACATTTAAATCGCAGAGTTATAGTCTTTTGAAAACTGTTTCGTATTGCCCTTTGTGTGCTTGAGTTGCTCTTAATCCGAGAATTGATGAAGAACACATGCCTTGGTAATTTGGTTGCAACAGGTAGAAGAATCAAACAGCAATTTATTACATAATGTTTTGAGAACTTTTGAAAGGTAATAATTTGAAATGAGATTTATGAGGTAAGGAGATACATGTATTATTATTTTGATTGTAAAAAGCACAGAATCAACAATTAATTATCTCAAGTGCACCAAAAGCTAATATATTATATATGAGGGTTTTTTTTATTTTTCAGTTCTACATATTTTGTACATATTGGTTATGTGGGTGATATTGGCACTAGTTTTGGTAGGGTTTATGGCTGTATTTTATGTGGTTATTGACTGGAATTATCCAACATTACAGGGACCAGACAGCATCTTACAAACACCTGGTAACACAATAGATTTTATCCAATCTTATTAAAATAAGATTCATTTTGTGAAGCCATAAACTGTGGGGTCTTCCTTGTACACATGCATGTATGCATACATACATAAAAGAACTATTTGCAGTTGGAATTCAATGAAGGCTAGGTTGTATCTATTGTCATAATTCAATCATCATCTTATCTGTATGAAAGTTGTATTCATTATTTAGATTAATAAACCGAAGAAGCCTATATAATTTCAACAATTTCCATTAATTACTTCTAAAGTTATGGCTCTGTTTCACTTTGTAGAACCTTATAAACAACTTCCATTAATTAATTCTAAGAGTAATGGGCCTTGTGTCACTTTGTAGAACCTTGTAAAGACTGGAACAGCAAAAATTATTATCTGATCTGATTCTAGATAACTCATAGAATATTCCATGCCATTCAATCATTCTCAAACGAATGCAGGATTTTAAGTCGATGACTAGGCCTATCATACCTGAAAAATCTAAAAAATTTAGGGTCACAACATTTTGAGTAGGAGTCTTTTGAAGCTAGGGTAAAAAATTTACTTAAAATATGGCGTATTGTGCCTCAAAACAAATATTGTTTTCATTTCAAAAAATGTTCACTACATCGTGTGACTTCTGTAGTAGAACCCAGATTGAAAATAAATGACCTCCAGGGTTTTCATTTTTTAAAATATCTGCATGGTTGTCTGAATCACAGTAATATTTAGATTGTCAGTAGAAGAAAGAACAAAATTAGAAAATTCAGTTTGGTTCGTTTTGCAATTTCCTATTTTATTAACCTACAATTAGGAGCGGCTTCTTTTGGTTCATAAATTCTAATATTATTATTCTTATTATAGACAAATTTTGTTCGATTTTACCCAGTGCTAATTATACGTAGTCTAGCAGTACTATTAATATAAATTATAGAAAAATACAATGTACTGTTGTTCTGTTTGCAGGTTTATCTTTCCGTCCTCAACCAGATTCTATGTCGACAGTTATTAGATTTGTAAAAGGGGACGCCACGACATATGCAAATTATCTAGATCATACAGAGGCATATTTAAGATGTAAGTATATTATGGTTACATTACTATGGTAGATAAACGACTTTTTTGGGACGCTGCGTAGGGGGGCTAAAATAAAATTTTAATTTCAAAATTGTAGGGCTCAGACAGTAGACAATATCAAATAACTGTAATCTCATGACTTGTAATATGGGTAAAGACATGTTTCAGACAGTAAATAACTTACACCATTGGTAATGCTGTTCGGTTTATGTTCCAGAGTTATATGCTCCCTTTTCCAATTCATGAGAGAGCGAACCATATAGCTAATCAGCGTTCTGTGACCTTTCGTTCCAGAGTTATGCACCCTTTCCCGAAAACCTTTTGGATGTGATAAAGCTTCAGTTTTAAACAGATTTATTTCAAATTTGGTGTGAGGCATTTGGGTCATGAGATTACCCCACTTTTCCAAAAACGTGAAAGAAGCTATATTTTTTAACAAATTTTTTTCAAATTTGGTTTGAACCATTGGGGTCATAAGAGGATGAACCTTATTGATAAACAATGTTCCACAAGCTTTTGCTCGGGAATTATGTAGGTGTATCGTGCATGACAACTACTTTTTGTTCCTTCCAAATGACTAGATACTTATCTTTGCTAGTCCCTCTATCCTGTACTTCTGACTCCAAATTGAGTAAATGTTATCTTCTGTTTGCCAAAGCACACCCTGCTTAATCTCAGCTTTCAAAGTAAATGCAAGCATTACATAACTAACAAAGTGTATTGGTATTTTTTCTAGATTACGAAAATGAAAACCAGCAAGGCGAGAATTACATAGATTGTAGTTCAATTAGAGAGCGACGAAAGGAAAATTTTAATAAAGTTTGTCGTTTTGATGTTACTTCACTTGGTTCTGATTGTGTTAAGCAACAGAATTTTGGTTTTGATGATGGTCAACCATGTATTTTATTAAAACTAAATAAGGTAATGTGTTGTTACTTGTCATGGTATGAACTTAATGAATAACAAGGGCTATTTTGCAGGTTCTTGAATCTCTATTGAAATAATTATTGAGATCATATATTAGGTCATTCTTCAGTGTTATCTTATTGCATATCTGATGTCTGGATAATCAAGGCCATCCAAAAGATATGTCCGACTATCATGCAATCTGATTAAAATCAGATGTTATTTTTGTGATATATTTTCTAAAATGTCGGATCAAATCATGTGAACTAACTGACCAATCAAGTGGATGATTTTCAGGACTGTACTTTTATATGGGATTATGGTGAATGAAACCATTTCATCGAAAATAATTGATTAGAAATTAGTATAAATTTTTGAAAAACTTAATGTAGGTCACATTAGATAGACCCAGTTTCGTCTATTTTAAGATTCCACGAATAGAGCTCTATGCCCTTTAATGGTGTTCTAGAAAATAGGTTATTATAGAGTTAGCTGCCTTGCCTTTCCTTTCAGTAACCATGAGGATGCTTTATTGTCAGTCCGGAACGTCCCGAATTGACGGAATTCCAATCGAGTGACATGGAATTCAGTCCTGTCCAGTTCTGCAAATCTCGACAACTGAGGTGGTGGTTGTAGTCTAAAATCCCACTTTTCACTCGATTGTCACCTCATTTGGGGATTGAGAGATTTCAATTCTGGAATGTTCAATCTAGTATCCCCTATGAATTGATCATTTAGTAAATTGTGTTTTTAGATTTTTAACTGGATACCAGAAGAATATACTAATGAAACCATTCCATCTGCAATCGGAGGTAGTTGGTCACAGTGGAGTATAACAGTTAATTGTGAAGGAGAGGTAAGTGCTCAGGGATAAACCTTTATCTGATAATGCAAATTATGGAATACCAAAGAGCTCTTTATTTAGTGTTCTTAGTTCTTAAACATACATTATGCAAGGGCTAAATCTGCCTATTTCAGGTCTTTCTTTAGGCCAGAAATGTTATCTAAATTATTAATTAAACATTAAATAACTTATCCAGACCATAATCAACTCTCGATGTCATTGCTAACTTGCGATATTTACTGGATTAAGATCCTATTTGCTGCTCAACTTTCATTCATGATTTAATCATGAAATGGATAATCAAGACTATGTTTTTTTATCGTACTGACTTCAGTAATGATCATCGTGGCTAAGCCGAAAATTCAATCGCTAAATTCTTGGTTCTGTGTGGATCAACTTGAGTGCAATTTTCAGCAAATTCCCTTTACATTATCTAGTTTTTAACTTTTATAGTGAGAACTGCTAGCTCTTTATCTAATCTCTCATAATGTATCTTTAATAGAGTGTAATACATTACAACTTTTCAAATTATTTTTTGACACATTTATATTTACATACCTTGAAAAAAGATCAAAGATATCGGGATGCATACTATTGAAAAGGTCCAAATACATTTTAAAACTGTAAAATATCAGTCAAATTGATCCATTCTGAACCGATATTTTAGCGATTGAATTTTCGGCCTAGCCTCGATCATCATTACTAAAGTTTGTACGATAAAAAACATAGTTTTGATTATCCATTTTATGATTAAATCATGAATGGAAGTCGAACAGCAAATCGGAACTTAATCCAATAAACATTGCAGGCTGGCGATGACATCAAGAATTGATTATGGTCTGGATAAGTTAAAGATACATTATGGGAGCTTAGATAAAGAGCTGACAGTTCTCACTATAATAGTTCAAAACTAGATACTATAAAGGGAATTTGCTGAAAATTTCAGTCAAATTGATCCACTATGAACCAAGATTTTAACGATTGAATTTTCGGCCTAGCCTCGATCATCATTACTGAAGTCGGTAGGATAAAAAACATAGTCTCGATTATCCATTTCATGATTTAATTATGAATGGAAGTAGAACAGCAAACTCGGAACTTAATACGATAAACATTGCAGCCTAGTCTTGCCATCGAGAGTTGATTATGATCTGGATAATATGATGTCGATGGACATTAAAAGAAACAGAAACTTCGAAGTACGATGATATTGTTTTTATACTTTTTGATTCATAAAAACTCCCGTACATAAGAGCTTCGGCAAGGGACACCATCCAATGGCATCCATACACATATATGGAATCAGACTACTGGAATTTAATAGGTCCGTGTTTACAGTCATAAACAGCAACACTACATCACCCTCCTCTTTAGCTAAACACGAAATAAAACAGACATAATAAAACTTAACATTTTAAAACTGGCCCTACAGTTTTTTTTTAGATTTACAAATTACAATGTTTATGCTAACACATAATTCTGGAATCTGCTAGGTAAGCGTCTATGGCGATCTGATCTACGTAAAGGCAGAGGTGGTGGCTGTTCTGGAGGTAAAGGCCTATCAAAGCTCACATTATAGTTATTATTTTCTGAATCTGCTGCTCCATTTTCATCTATATCAAGTGAATCCCTATGCTCACATTCTGTTGCAGTTGGTAAACGTGAAGATTGCTTAAAGAAGCTGCTGTTGCGTGTGACATTAGATTTCCCACGTGATGCCGTGATCATCGACCCTTATTTAGCAGTAACTTGAAGAGGTTCTGGATTATATGGTGTTAATGATTTCTTTAATGAAGTCTCCTTGATTAATACCGCATCTCCAACCTTGATATCAGATGGCCGCACATAAGACTTCTTATCGGCATAAGCTTTCATTTTGAGTTTAGAATCATTGTCTTTCTCCCTCATCTTTTGATCACCAGCTGGGGAGGAAACTATGTGAGGGAGCCATGCTTTGATTGTTCTCGAGAACAAGGCTGTAGCAGGTGGAACTCCAGTTGAACTGTGTGGAGTTGTGCGATAGTCCAACAATAATTTGTACATTTCTTGTTTCCAAGTGTATCCTTGAGCTAGAGCACCTTTGATCTCTTTCTTAATTGTTCGCATGAACCTTTCTGTTTCCGCATTTGCACGGGGCCACAAGGGTGTAATTTTACGATGATGAAAGCCCATATGTTCAGCAAACAAGTGGAAAGCTTGACTATTAAATGGCGGGCCGTTGTCAGTCTTAAGAGACTCGGGTATACCAAATTCTGCAAATATTTTGTCCAAATGAGGAATAACACAATTTGCAGATGTTGAATGTAGAACGACAACCACAACATATCGGGTATGCTCATCAGTCACAACTAGAAGATATTGATTATTGGGGAGTTGTCCAAAATCTGCACTTAATTCAATCCATGGTCCTTTGGGTAGGTTTGACATTACTAATGGTTCACGATTAGATGTAGGAGTTGTTATCTGACAAGTGAGGCAGTGTTTAACTAACGACTCAACATAGTTGTACATACCTCTAAACCAAATCTTTTCACGTAATAAAGAAGTAGTTTTCACTATTCCTTGATGTCCACTGTGTGCTATGTCGACTTCTCTGCATTTGAGTAATTTGGGAAGCACTATTTGATGCCCCTTTAGTAATATCGTATTGTCTTCTACTAGTGACAGTTCTGAACGACAAGAATACAAAGAATGAAAAAGTCCCCTGTCAAGCTCAGCAGTATGAGCATACCATTGATTAGTAACGATAGCTTTGATAACAGCCTTAAGTGTAACATCGTTGTCTGTTGCTTGTTTAATTTCTGATAGTGTGATAGCCTTCGGTGTTGACGTTGATACAATGTAATGAAGATATTCCTCCGCAATCTTTTCTTCGTGGCTACTTGGTGGAAGATTAACTGGGTGTCTACTAAGGTAGTCAGCTGGGTTGTCAAAACCTGGGCGATATTTAACGGTCATGTGATATGGTTGCATTCTCATAACCCAGCGCTCAATTCTTGCGGATAATTGTGATGAAGGATTCATGAATAGGCTGACAAGAGGTTTGTGATCCGTGTAGATTATGAAGGGTGCTCCAAATGTGAAAATACTCACAGGCCCATGTTATGGCCAGTGCCTCGCGTTCTGTCTGGGAATAACGTTGTTCTGTTGGGGTCAGAGCTCGGCTGGCATACTGAATAATTCGGTTATCTTGGGTAAGAATAGCAGATATACCAACTGGACTTCCTCAGTGTAAATTTCTGTTTGTTTGGGTCAAAGAAAGCCAAGGTAGTTGCTTTACTCAATTCTTGTTTAAGGCGATGCAGTGCTTCTTCATGTTTAGCTGTCCAAGCCCAGGGTGTCGATTTCTTAGTCAAGTGACGAAGCTCATGAGTGAGGGTGGCGTAGTTAGGAATAAAATGAGATCCACAAAAGTTCATCATGCCTAAGAGACTCCTGACTTGTGATTGATTTTGAGGTGACGGCAAATCAAGTATAGTTTTCAGTTTGTCATGACTTGGTTTTATACCAGAAGAGCTGAAAATATGCCCAAGAAATTCTAAAGATGTTCGGTTATATTCACATTTGGCACTATTAAGTGTTAATCCCTTGTCTCTAAGACGCTGAAAAAGTGCCGTCAGATTAGCATCTTGATCTTCTTGTGACACACCAAAACAGAGAATATCATCACTGATATTGACTACGCCAGATAAGCCGGAAAGGGCTTGTCGGATGGTCTCCTGAAAAATTTCACTGGCTGAATTGATGCCAAATGAAAGCCGTTTGTACCTATAAAGTCCTAAGTGTGTTGCAAATGTTGTAATATACCGAGAACCCTCATCTAACTCGCACTGATTGTAGCCTTGATTTAAGTCAAGTTTGGAGAACCGTTTGGCCCCTGATAACAGAGTCTTTAGCTCATCAAGAGTGGGAGTTGCATGTCTTTCACGACGGATTGCTTTGTTAGCTGCGCGCATGTCAACACAAACGCGCACAAGTCCGTTGGACTTGGGTTTGGAACACGGCGATAATGTTGAGCAACTGGTGCCACGGATTCATCAATGTGCAATTTCACTTGGGTATCTTTGAGTTTACCCAGGCCTTGAAATAGATCACTGTACGTTTCTTTTAAAGATTCTAGGGTTGGTTGAACTGTATTGACAGCTGCTAATAAATTTAGTTTCTGTGATGATAACCAGCTTAATATAGGTTTTTCTTTCCCGGATACAACACAGATAGTAGATGTACAAGATGCATTAGTAGAATGGAGGGTCGTTATAAATGTTCCTAATAAAGGTATAGGATTATGACCACCATAGGCTGAGATTGTGGTGTCAGAGTGCTGTAACTCAGGTCTAGGGGAAAGCGTATTATAATCATATTCTGAGAGAATGTCAACAGATGCTCCTGAATCAGCTAGGAAGGTAAATGTACCACAATGGTCTACCGAGACATCAAAATGAGGAAGCTGTTTTGAATGATTAATCACAAATAAATATTAATCCTCTAAATCGGAATCTTCATTAAGTACCTGTTGTACTGTTTGTACACGGGCCTTGGGCTGCTGTGATACTGATGCATAGGGTTTGTTTGTTTGATATTGGTTGTATTGCCTTCGTGGTGGTGTGTAAGATTCTTGCCTTAAGGGCTGACTGAATTCCTGTTTTGATAGTGGTGTTCGTGGTGATGAAAATCGAGGAAACTGCTGACGATGATTAATGTATCTTGGAGGTCCTGATCTGCAGACTGCGGAAAAATGGTTATATTTGAAGCACATTTGACACTGTTTATTAAAGGCTGGACAACGGTGTTGACCATTTGGATGAGGCCATGAACCTCCACAATTCATACACTGTTGCCATGGAAAATTTCTGGGTCCTATTATTTTTCTATCTGGAACCTGTGGCTGAAGTTTATTTACAGAGCTGTGAGTTTGTTCAGACATTACGTGGACAGTAGCTAGTTGTGTGGCCCGAGCAAACTGTAGTAACTCTGATAATGTAGTGCTTGGTTTAGTTAAACCATCAATATCAGCAAAGCTACACATAGAGGCTAACCATAGCAAAAAGTCCAACAGAATACCAGTGTAGTATTGTATATAATTCTATAGAAAAACTATAGAGTTTTTTGGGGGGCGTCACCCATTTTCTATAGGATAAAATTCATAGTATTCTACAGAATTTTGGGGGCCTGTAGGAAATAACGGCCCCAAATATTCTATAATTTCTGTAGTGCACATCCTGTAGATTTTCCTACAGATTTATGGCAAAATTTCTATAGGAAAATATTATAGTATTCTATAGGGGTTTTTTTATTGCACTTTCTGTAGGAAATTCTACAGTTATGTATAGGAATGAATACTGTAATATTCTGTAGTTTGAAAATTGGGCCACTATAGTTTTCTGTAGGAATGGGTACTATAGAATTCTATAGACTTTTTTTTATTAAATCTTATTTTGGGAATAAAAATATAGTTGGCCCATGATTTCTTCTAAATTGATAAGCTTATTTTTCTCTCATGGATTCTTCAAAATTGATAAGCTTATTTTTTCTCTCATGGATAAATCTGAATTCTGTTGATGATTCACCAGCCAGAACCTGAAATATAAGGAAAAGAATAGGTAATAAAGTTAAATAACAAAATCACATAAATCTTATCTAATTATAGTAATTTAATATTATTGTTAAGAAAGTAATAAAGTATAGGCCTACTTATCTTTCTATCTTTAATGAATCTGTGAAAAAAAATAGCACCATTCTCTTCAGTTTCTTGTTAATACTAACATATACTATTCAAAAAAAGTAGGGGATATTTGATTTTGGGGGCATAATACTAAAATATGCAAATGACTACGAAAAAAGTCACTATAGAACCTAACAGAAGAAACATTTCCAGTTACATGTGACGCCCAAACGCACCAATAGCTACCGCATGTAATGCAGGTGATGCATGGGATCATCATGGGGGTCCAACCCAAGATTTGCACGACTCTGACTTTGAATGTTACAGGGTGGAAACATCAGTTTAATTGTTTTAGTGACCAGAAAACAAATTTTGATATGCGTCGGCTTACCCAAAATGAAAGGTTACGTGCCCTTGGCATGCTACAGATCGGCACAACACAGGCGGTTGTGGCGTGGACGATGAATGTTTCTCAGTCTGTCATAAGCAGGCTATGGTCCAGATACCGTGATACACAATCTGTACAGGACAGACCACGCTCAGGTCGACCAAGGGCGACAACTCAAGCCCAGGATCGATTTATCCGTACCTTGGCCTTGAGAAATCGTGTCATCACAGCAAATCAGATCAGCGCTCGTCTTCAAACAGACACTGGTGTGAGAGTGAGTGGCCAGACGATTCGAAATCGACTGCATAGGGGTCACCTTCGCGCCCGACGTCCTCGCGTGATCCCTTGTTTGAGAGATCATCACATTCAGGCAAGACGTCGTTGGTGTAGGGATCGTCAACACTGGGATAATCGACGCTGGAGCAATGTGATGTTTTCAGATGAGTCAAGGTTCACTGTTGATTTTTTGGACAGACGTAGGAGGGTGTGGCGTCGTCGAAACGAGCGCTTCCAAGACGTTAACGTCATCAGACATGATCGATTTGGGGGTGGTTCTGTTATGGTGTGGGGAGGCATCACTGTTGCTGGAAGAACGGCTTTACATGTTGTTGCAGGGCGTGTTACAGGCCAGTACTACCGGGACAACATCTTGGCAGTCCATGTTGTGCCGTTCGCACGACGTCATGGCCGCCGTTTCATCTTCCAGGATGACAACGCAAGATGTCACAGGGCCAGGATCGTTACAGGTTACCTCCAACAACAGAACATCACCACATTACCTTGGCCAGCACTGAGTCCCAAACCTCTCCCCCATCGAGCATGTCTGGGACATGCTTGGACAGAGGTTACGTCAACGTCAACAACGTCCTGCCAATGTCCAAGAACTTGCTGCTGTGTTGCAACAGGAATGGGACAATCTGGACCAAAATGACCTTAGACGTCTCATTAGGAGTATGCCACGTCGGATCAATGCTTGTTTGGCAAACAGAGGAGGATTTACCCGTTACTGACTTGGTTGTGATGCTGTGGTAACTTTGCTGTTTGACCCCGGGTATCATTTTGCCCTTATAATGGTCAGTCTGTGCCTTACTTAGTCTAACGATCATTTGGAATAAATCGATGAATGTGAACTTCATTTCATTTTGTCATTTGTTTCTTCGTCAGTTTCATTAGGTGACTTTAATAACACTTAAAAATCAAATATCCCCTACTTTTTTTGAATAGTATATTAAGTTGTTAAACACTGAATTTTTGAATTTAAAATTCAGCCAATGGCCAAACAGATTTCAAGAGAGTATATAATTTGAGTACAGAATCTGCTATAGTCATTAAGATCTAACTAGCAGGATCAAATAACAGTCAGACTGTGTTCTAAATAAACTTTGTCTTTATTTCATAGACTTATCTGAAGAATAATTTATTATCTGATATTTTTGTTGTGAAGATCTACATTACTGGCATTTTTTGGAGGGTGGGTGGGGAATTCCTTTGAGTGTCAACATGTATCACTATTTCATTCATATTATATACACTATTTTATACTTAATATTTTATTTTTCGTGGTAAGCTTATTTTAGTTTGTCATTTGGTATCACAGTAAATTAAGGAAGACTGCATCCATGAAAATTATGTTGGAAAAGTTTACATAATTCACACAAGTGCCTCACTAAATTCTGTTGTAAACTATAGTATGAATAAAAGACATCGCAAATTTATGAAATCTGTAGTATAGAACATTGTTTCTACATTATTGTGTAGGAAACTATAGTAGGCTATTTGTTAAAATGGTTTAAGTACAGTATACATATAAATTCTACAGAAAACTATAGAAGGCTCATGCATTATATTTTTCTCCACAAAATCTATAGAAAAAAATGTCAGAATGTCATAGAAAACTATAGGATTACACAACTGACATGAGACAATAAGTTAGTTCTATAGAAAACTATAGTTTTTACCACCAAATCTATAAGAACACCAGCTGACATGAGAATACAAGTTAGTTTTATAGCAAACTATAGTTTTTACCACAAACGCTATAGAAAACTGAAGGATTACTCAAATGACTCGAGGATACAGGTTAGTTCTATAGAAAACTATAGCAGCACCAATAAATCTGTAGGTTTATTTTTTTTCCTGTAGTTTCTTACAGTATTCTATAGAATTCTGTAGGAAATTACACTTGGAAAATATTCATCTATCGATCCTACACAAAACTATAGTACATGTTTTTGAATCTATAGTCATGCGAAAAAAACTACAGAATGAATTTTTTTTCCTTCAGCATTCTATAGCATTCTATAGAATCCCACAAACTGCTATAGAAACCTTTACTTTTTCTATAGGACTTTTTCACAAGCAACGCTTTCTTATGTGCATCGTCGGTAATGTCATAACCAACAAAAAGGTTGTGTTTAGGCGTCGTACCCATTTCCTCCAGCGTATTGCACGGCCATCAGCTGTGCAATCAAACGGTGGATATGAAGGGAGAGAATGTGCCATGATGATGGTTTTGATTTAGTGTCTGATGAGAACACAGGATAAGTTCATGAACCACAACACTCGTCGCCAATATGATGTCGATGGACATTAAAAGAAACAGAAACTTCGAAGTACGATGATATTGTTTTTATACTTTTTGATTCATAAAAACTCCCGTACATAAGAGCTTTGGCAAGGGACACCATCCAATGGCATCCATAAACATATATGGAATCAGACTACTAGAATTTAATAGGTCCGTGTTTACAGTCATAAACAGCGACACTACAGATAAGTTAATTAATGTCTAATTAATAATTTAGTAACATTTCAGACGTAAAGAAAGACCTACAATAGGCAGAATTAGCTCTTGCATAATGTATGTTTAATATTATAATAGTATTGAAAAGGCTAATATATTATAATAATATTGAAAGGGTTAATAATATATTTTAATTTTGGGAATGTAACAAAATTGGAATCTGGTAATCGCTTCCTGTCCATGTGTTTAGTACGACAGTAGACCTACGTACTTGTCAAACGTCTGTGTCACTTGTGAGTGAAGCAGGGAAGTGCTTGGTCGCTCTCTCAGCATGCCAAAACACAAACATCACAAGAAATAATTGGAACAACAAATATCAAATCAAGTGAATGGATATGTCAGTATCAAAATAACCTATTTTGTTTAAGTACGTTTTATTTTTGATTGCCGCCCAATGCTAAAGACCCCTACTACTAGAGAATTTTGAAGTACATGTAATTAAGATATACCATGTTATTCCTGAATAACCTAGTTTGTGTAAAGTAGATGTTCATTGCTATTTTCTTAATCCTATTTTATTTGGTGCTTTTTTCAGAATGCTGCTGACAAAGAAAATATAGGCCAGTTGTTTTATTTCCCAGCAGAAGGCTTCCATTTCAAATATTTCCCATATTTAAATCAGCAGGGTTATAGGTCACCACTGGTATTTGTAAGATTTGATGAGCCTCGCCCTGGAACCCTTATCATGGTAACCTGTAAAGCCTATGCTAAAAATATAGTACATAATACAATCGCTTTAGCAGGGCAAGTCCATTTTGAACTTTTGGTTGATTAAGTTATTTTGTTAGTTTATGTGTACCATCATCATATGGAATTAAACAGTAGATAAGTTTATAAAATATAATTTTCAAAAAACATTTAAATTCACCCAATTATCAAAAGTCCTAGAACTACACTACTTTGTGTAATCTAATCTGAATAAGCATTTGATTATGTCTTTTATAAAATCTATAAGATTTATGTGTATGATATTTAAAACATCTGTAATTACTCATTTATGTAATGTAGTTTGGATAATTAGCATTCGAGTATGTCCATTATAAAATCTATAGGGTTTATGTGTATTGTTTGTAAAACATCTACTTAGTGTAATGTAGTTTGGAAATCTGTAGGGTTTATCTGTATGATTTTTAAAACATCTGCATCGGATTTTCAAACAATCTAATTTCAACACCCTTAATAATAGTCAAATCATGGCAAATCAAAAGATAACTTCACATTGGTAGTAACCTTTAATCCCCTCGGAACCCAATTTTAACACCCTTAATAATCAAATCATGGCAAATCAACTACAGACTGGTAGTACATGTACCTTTTAATCCCTCTGAACCCAAAACATAAATTTGTTACTTACCCCATTGATTTGGAATTATAAAATATTTATTCGAAACCAATGGGTCAGTCCTATAGTTGCATTTATTACTGAAGAGAGAATGTAAGCAGTCAAATTACATGCACCCAGTTTCCTTGATTTATGACTGTACATTGTATACATTGACTTATATGGTAAATTAAGATTACTTCTGTTATAGAAGTAGATTGATACTGCACACAATGTCTTGCTTGAGAACTTTTAAACTGAAAATACATAAATATTACCATGCACTGGTACGTAAATGTTATCCTGCACAGACAAGTCCAATATTTCTGTCATCTAGTATAAGTAATGTGCAATTGGCACAATAATGGTACGCCAACGGATCACGCCATATCTGTATTTTAAGTAATATTAGTTCATTTTCATTTAATACATTGGCACAGCATCCCAATTCACCATTTCCCATCTTATTTTTATCGTCAGTTTATTTATTTGATCTGAATTTCATAACCATCAATATCATCATAGAATGGTGCCATCAATATTATCATAAACTGGTGACATCATTACCATAACATGGTGACATCAATAAGGAATAGTAACATAGTCCTAGAACTGGTAACCATGTGTGCTTGTAATATAACATTAAACTGAGACTGAGTATGCTGCCTAAAGTCTGTTATGTTCATACCACAATCTAATCTGAGATAAAATACTAAAAGTTATTATATACTTTTAGTTAAGATGAAGCCACCTTCTAAAAAAAGGATTGTGTGGTGATCAAATAATTCAATGGTTTTGGCAAAAGGGCGTATTTTTTAACTTCAGAGAGAGGAGAGTTGCACTCCTTGACAGTACTTCCCTCCCCCTTCTGAGTCTTATGGACACATCTGGTTTTAATTTTGGTTGGGGAAGTTGATTTTATTGGGAGTTTTTTTGTAGAAAATTATATTTTATATTGTTCAGATATGTATTTTTTTTTATAGTTTTCAAAAATAATTGTAAACTAAAGTTTTTTGTCTATTGTTTTAATATTATAGTTATATTATAATTTAAAATATTGATGCGTCATTTTAGCACTATTGGAATCACTTGCAAACAACAATATGGTGAAAGGTGAATCTCTAATGGGAATATCAGTCCAAAAATGGTTCAATTGTGTGTAGTATTTATAAAGATACATGTATGTTGAATTGAAATTTCATTGATCTAGGCTTCTTTGCTATGTAATAAGCCTGTCATCATTTTGTTACCTGCAAGAATTTATTGGTAGACATGTTTTAAACCGGATTTCATCTAAACATGGACATATCTAGCATTAGTATTTTGATTTTTTAATTGAATATTAAATATTTCAACCTCATTACATTAAGTAATTTTTACAAACCCACATATAATTTAAGAGTATTATCATCACCCTGTCTGTCACCTCAGTCTGTTGTCTGCAGTCTGCAATTTGTCTATCCACACTCTACAGGTCAGGATTCTTCATGAATTGTTATCAACTTAGTAGGGATTGTTCATTGGGTCACATGCCAGAACACTATCAGAATTTTTGGACTACAAATTGCATATTCTCTCCCCTTGACACCAAAACATGTGATTGTGATAGAGGCTACAGTTTTTAACAGATTCTTTTCAAATTTGGTTTGAAGTATTGTGGTCATGAGAGGATAAAGCCTATCGATATTCAGCATTCTGCGACTTTGTGTAAATGAGTTATTGCCCTTTGCCGAAAACCTTGTGAACGGGATAGAAGCTACAGATTTTAATGGCTTCTTTTCAAATTTGATGGAAAGCTGTGGGGTCACGAGCGAAATGAAATGGGGTTTAACGTCATACCTTTCTGCACTGACTGGGCTCATGAAGACGGAGGGTCAAGAGAGGACAAACCCTATAGATATCCAGTGTTTTTTGCTATTCTGTTAAAAGTCCTCCACACCCCCCCACCACATTGACAAAAAAAACTTATGAACACCATAGAGGCTATAGTTTTGAACGGATTCTTTTCAAACTAGATGTGAAGCATTGTAGTGTATATATTCATTCTTATAGGCTGTATTCATTAGCCTAGTAGGACATTAAACCCCATTTCATTTCATTCTTATAGGAAATCTAAAAGATTTTTTTTGTGAGTGGTCAGTCTCACACTGTGCTGTGTTTTAATATAAAAAAAGCTAATGTTATTCTTGCCATTCGGTCTAGTGTAGCAGGTATAGAGTTTTATTCTTTAGTTATTAAAGCCTCTTCCATGTTTTAGGCTTAACTGTTGATCATTAGGAATTTTTTAAAAAATATATCTGTTGACATTCAATAAGATACTACCCAGACTTAACATTTTTATTTCTATATCATTTGTCCTTTTTGTATATGAGCATGTTATTTTTATACGTCCAAATTTTCATGTGGACATATTATGTCGTCGCCCCTGTCCGTCCATGGGTCTGTGTGTCTTTGGGTCACAATTTTTATCCGTTTTTTTTGTTGTTTCTTTTTACGAAACTTAAAATATATGTTTATATCCCAAAGATTACTGTTGATATGGGCACATATCGGACAGCAAACTTCATGGATTATTGTCATTGATAGTACGGAAAATCACGTTTTTAGCTTGTGTACCCTCCGTGTTGGAGTTATGCCGCCTGCCCTTTATGCAAAATGTGAAATATGTACAAAATTTATGGACTCTTCCGATGCAGATGAAACTTACCATAAATGTAATGTTTTAAAATTTCTAGCTTTGGACCTTCCATTTTGGTGTAGGGCTTTTTTTTTTAATTGAGATATATCTGGTGTGTGGGTGTATTTCCACACTTAGTGTTATTGTATTAATTCATTGTAAATAGCCAATCAAATCATATATAGATATATATTATATTTACATGTAACATTCCTTTAATAACTACATATATTTCTTTTTTACTATTTTTTATACACTCACATTGAAATGTGGTCATATATTGTCATCACCCCCGTCTGTCAACATCAACTTGATCTTGATAATAAAAAAAAAATCTTTCCCAAGTTTGTTAGTGTCTTGTAAATTCTTCCATTACCAACAAGAGCATAAAATGTGACATCCTTTATTATGGACTACTCAGACAACTTAGCTGCTGTGGCCGTATGTTTCGTTACCTGGCAACCTACCTTATTAATTCATTGTAAATAGGTCAATCAAATCGTAGATACATGTATGTATAACATTCCTTTTATAATAATAAATATATATATATTTCTTTTTTAATATCTTTTGTTTTTATTTATTTGGATATACACAGTGCTATACTCCATGTAATTTATCTTCCGAGAGCTTAAAATGTTACTGTTTGTAACCACAACATACATAGAGAAATGAAAAACCCAAACCCAAAGTCAACAATCAAGGTAGGAGTGTGTTTGGAGAAGGCTGCATGGGTTGATGACGATCTGGAAGTCCGTATGAATATAGTACTTAAATTCTTTGCTTGATAAAGACGGGAGAACCCTCGTCGAAACGTCGCTGAAATAAACTCTTCAAGTAACTTGTATTCCAAATAATTGTGTCATGTGTTATTTTCATCCAGTTACTCAAGCCACTTAAACAAACTGTTAACAAGAAAGTGATTTGGTCGTAAATAAACCCAAAAATACAAGTCGGCAAGCTACCCAAAAGAAAGAATTATGTACCAGTACATGTATATTGATATCTAAGGCAGTTTTAATTTGAAGCAATATAAAGGTGTAACCGGGCAAATTACATGATTGGGATGTTCCTAATTCCCTATAAGAAATGTGTGAGATTCAGACCAGTTATAGTTCCTTTCGGAACGGTCCATGATCGGGCGCTGTCCACTAACCATTTCTATAGCTGCAATAGTTATGAAAATATTGCTCTTCCCCACCTCTGTTCTAAGGCTATTTTGAAATCCTGACACCTTCTCTTTTTCACAGTGATTCCTTATTTTTCGCCAAAAGGAATCATTTCTCGCCATATTAGAGCAAGAGCCCAGGGGGTCAACCTAGCTGAAAAATGTACCAATTTTCGCATATATGGTATCAAAGCATGAATATCTGGTATCATCAAAATGTAAGTCTGCCGGGTACGTATCTGGTGGTGGGTGTGGCTGTGAGGGCTTCGATACTGGGTATGGATTCTTGAGCTAGATTAGCTCAAAAGTGTACCACATGAAAATGGTACGGCAGTGTACCGTACATCTTAAAGTATTACAAAAACACTCTGACAGACATTTATAGTGGTGGGGTACCCCCGACAGAGTTATGTAATTGCCAGACCACAGCTAGGCTAGATTAGCTGAAATCTGTACCACTTATAACTACTTGGAAGTTGTTCAGCACCACCACAGGAATCAAGAATGATCACTGCCAGACAATTTGTTCGGTGGGTTACCCCGACAGACACGACGAAAATACCCCCCCGCCCCAACTAGACTAGATTAGCGGAAGTCCGTACCACCTAAAAGTGCTTGGAAGTTGTTCAGCACCGCCACAGGGATCATGAATTACCACCGCCAGACAGATATTGCGGTGGGGTACCCCTGAAAGAAACGCCCAAAATTCCCCGCCCCGCAACTAGGCTAGATTAGCTGAAATATGTACCACTTATAACTGCTTTGGTGTTGTTCGGCACCACCAAAGGAATCATGAATAAAATAAAACCAAGTACGAACAATCCAAACCATTAGACAAAATTCGAAGTCCTAAAAAACAAAAACGGTATAGGCAAAATAGTGTAATAAGGCAAAATAGTGTAATCAGCATATGGACTGTTCACTGCCAAACCGATTGTACGGTGGGTTACCCCTAACAGACACGCCCAAAATGACACGTCTCGCAATTAGGCTAGAGTGACTGAAGTGTGTACCACTTAAAACTGCTTGGAAATTGTTCACCACCCCAGGGATCACACTGCCCATTGCTAGAGAGTTTGTTTGGTGGGGTTCTCCCAAGAGACACGACAGCCAAGCGCCCCCTCCCAAAAATTTGGCTTTATCAGCTGGGTTAGACTTATTGAGAATTCTGGGTATTACATCATATTTTCATGAGTATGTAATATATATTAAAGATTAAGTAATCGTATGAAGAAGTAGTGGTTCAACTCAGTGACCACTGACATACGAACCATAAAGTCCAGTTGCCAAACCCCATTTTAAGCCTTGACATGGAAATATAGCCCACCTAATGTTTATTGGTGGATTATATATCTTCTATATGTGTAGATTCAGAATTGGGGAAATTTATAAATTCAAGATGGCCGACATGAGGCGGTTTCTGGTTGTTTAGTAAAATATGTGGCAGTTGCTCTCGGACCTCGGTTTGAAAATGTTTCTAGAATAATTCGACCCGCTGAATCCAATGAGCTAGGGTATTCCTCCTGAAAGTGATGGCTAATTCCGCTAGAGGGCCAAATTCAAAATGGAGGTTCATTTTAGAGGGAAACTCATAAAGTTCACTAAAAAGATGTGCAAAATATAGAAATGTAGGTTTTGAGTATATTATATGTCTTTAATATGTGTAGATTCAGAATCTGGTTAATCCGTCGGAAAATATAAATATTCAAGATGGCCGACATGAGACATTTTCTGGTTATTTACTTTAATTTAGTTGGGTAAAAGTCGGGACAGATTCTCTCGGACCTCGGTATGAAGCTGGTTTCCATCGTAATTTGACCCGCTGAACCCAATGAATTTTGCTATTCCTCCTAAAAGTGATGGCTAATTCCGCTAGGGGGCCAATGAATTTTGCTATTCCTCCTAAAAGTGATGGCTAATTCCGCTAGGGGGTCAAATTCAAAATGGAGGCTTATTTTGGAGGGAAACCTATATAATCCCCAAACAAAGGTGTGCAGTATATTAAAATATAGGTTTTCAGTGTCAGTTACTTCAGATGTAAACATAAAATCATGTTCCGACCAAAAGGTATTCCAGGTTGAGGTCATAATCAAAATGGCGGCCAATTTTGGCGAGACATACGCGGTGTTATTAATGTTTTAAACTATAAGTTTTCTGATTCGCCGAATTCATAGAGCGAATTGTCAAGCATACATTATGATTCACTATGACACCCTCTCTACCAAAAAAAAAACCAGAGGGGAAGAAGGGATGGAAAATGTTTGCCAACCTCAGCTTTACCGGCGCGTATGAGTGACCTAATAACTGTCAAGACAAGGTTCACCCCCGTTGCATGATAATGATGAAAGCAGAAGAATCAGACTGTTATACTGATTCAAGTATTCCAGAGATTCAAGCGAGCGTATGTTAGACTTTTACATGAGGTTCGACAAGTCCCAGTTAGCTTTTATAAACACTTGCTTTCGACTCACGATGGCCCGATGGTTGATTCTGTTTGACCGTGTATAATTTGTGTCCTTATAAGAATACAAGTGACAGAAAATCATCGGATTGGAATACCGTTTGCTCGAAACATGTTTTTTATGTAAAAGTGGAAGTATGCAAACATAAACATTGTTTTCCATCTTCATGAAAGTTTTGTTTAAAGATGCATTATGTCAACCTCCCCTGAATTATTTTTGTTTGCTATCTGGATCACACCATTTCAACAGGAATATATAGTTAGTTGACTAATTCATCTTACTAATGCATTTAAAGGGACAATAACACTCTTGCTGGCTTGAAAGCTCCAGAAAATAAATAATATCTCTATCTAAGTACTAGATGTTTAAGTGTCCTACCTGTTGTGTAAATTATCTATTACATCCTATTTTACTTGTCCAGAGGGTTCGAAAATATTTTTAAATCGAAGTTTCATTTGAAAAGGTTTACGTTAGACGTTTCAAACCATTATGTTGAATTTTTCAAAATTTTTAAATAAGGTGTGTTAAGATGAAATTTGTATCATCAATTAATTGAAATATTCTAAAATAGTATAATTTGTTGACCAGAATAAAGATTGGGACATATTATTCAGTTACAACAAGAGTGGTATTGAGCCTTTAAATATCAATATATCAGATGATAATTTTTTCCACATGATTTGTAGTAAATTTGCATGTCTGTAAAAATCTAAACATTGATTAAATTCGATACCTCTAGCATTTATTGGAAATCGCTGGCGTGTTCACAATATTCTACAAAGTCATTATCAGAAATTGGTGAAATACAATAAATGAAAATGAACAGTGGCATTGGCTATTTACCACTGCATTACAATGTGGGGGTATAAACAAAAAGAAAAATATTATATTGAACCACACAATTCGGTTGACAATATTTGAACATTTTATTACAGAACAATTATTTATATGGACATCATAAAAGGCATATATTTGTGCATTGCGCATACAAAATTATGTTTAATTATAAAAGGAAATTATTTTGTTATAAAATGTGATGTATTAATGGAATGGGCTAAACACTGATTCTGTTGCAACAGAAATACTTATTTGAGTTTACATCATTAAAAATATACTTGAATATTAATTCGGCTCTATGAAGATTCTATAATATAAAAGAATTATGAAGTGACCTTATAAATGACATATTACATTAACAAATTATAAAGTGGAGTTTGTTCTAAGAAGGTAGTGTTGTGTCAGTTTTTATTTGAATAGTGTTTTGTTTGAAATATATTTTGCTTAGAGTGGTGGAACGGTCCTGTGGAATTGCCCTCCGTACCGTGTATCGAACCCCATGTCTGCATCGCTGTCCGTATGTTGAGCACAAAAAATTTGTTTGAAAAATTATATTTTTCATGTTACTTTTTTTTCTCACAATTTTATTTTTTGATTTGATGAAATCCTTTATTGTTTGTCAATTATTGTTTCGGTGGATGTTTTGGAAATTTTAGTTTTCAGACACAATGATAATTTTCTGTTAAGAGGAGTGGTAAGCAAGTTGATTGATCCTGACTTTTGATTCTAACTGAATGACAGTCATGAACTTGGTGTTTCCTTTCAATAACTTAAATGACTTTGATAATGAGCATCTTCTGCTCAGGTTGAACAGAGTGGTAAACCGCTTGATTGCTCTATAAACAGGGATAAATATCCAAGTAATTAAAGCATCATCTATCTATGTTTGAGTTCAAGTGGGGGGGAGCATCAGTCAAACTGTTTAATCTGAGGAAAGTTTTTAAATTTGGAAAAAGTTTGAATCAGACACAGTTTATTTAAATCTGGTTGTCTGAATCTGGCAGAGATTTGGCTTCTAAGGCTTTAATTAGCACATAAATGTATGAACGTTGTTTCTGCCCAGAATCGAGATAAAGGGTAAACAATGATCCACAAATTATAATTAATTCGATTATTTTTCAAAAATACCAATGACAGAATGATAATTTGCCGAATAAAGTATTCGATTTCAAAGCTTGTTTGTTGAACCAGTGATACAATTTTTAAAAAAATGATTACAAAATGAAGAAGCCAACAGTGAGGCTGATGACCCCCACCAAAATCCCAAAATAAATAGATGACACATATTAGTTAATCGCATATTTTTTTTTTTTTCAAAAGTATCAAGCAATCAAACTGATAAACAACTATACACTAAGTTTCATCACTCTCTATCCGATAGAATCAAAGTTATCTTGTCCCAATATAATTGCTTAGCTCTGCTTAATTAGGTTTAGTTCAAAATGTTAGTCTTGAACTCAACTAATGAACATCTGCACCCAGTTTAAACATTCTACATCAATTAAAAGCAGAGTTGTTATGTTCCAAAGTATTGACCAATCAAATTGCTTCTCAGCCTAAGCAGAAAATTCTCATCATCGAACTTAGTCAAGGTAATGATATAATGAATCTATACTCAGAGTTTCATCAGTCATCACCCAAAGCATCAACCGATCAGATTGCCTATGTCTGCTTACAGTAGGTAGACAATGTTCATCATCGAACTCCATCAAGGCAGGGGAACAATGAAACAAAAACTTGTGCTAGAGAAATAAATGACCAGGTCTCAGAAAAGGTTAATTGTGGTAGATCTTGACAGTATAGTCTACACATCTGCCGCTTTAATACTAAACTTTGGCCAATATTTCCAAAAAATTTGTTTTTTCAACAATTGTTGATATTGAGTCATTTTGAGACTATTACTGTGTTGTTTCAGGTATATAATTATCAAGAAAATAAACTGTGGTAGTTTTCCCAGGGATAGAAAATTTATTGTGGTTTTAAAATATGCCCAGAGGTGTATTCTTTCAGAATCATTGACCAAAAGAACTTTTCTCTTGCATGGCAAATATTTTTGGTGGTTGAATGTGGAAAAGGTCGGTCATAAAGCGGTTACATGAACCATCGATTTCATGTATCCCAAAACAAACTATTACATCTCATAGTTCAATTAATATGCTATCATGTATGTTTTATTTATAATGTAAGTGATCAATAATAAAACAAGTGGTTGCCATGCAATATATGCCCACATTTTGCAAGAGATGGACAGAGAACAGGCTAAAAAAAGTCATTTTTTTGTACAATGAGGGGTCATCATAATCCAGGAAGTTACAGTTCGATATGCATGAAAATCGAAAGGAACAAAGAGTGGCCATTTTTTCGGGCAGTTTTGGTCAGATTTTCAGGAAATTAAAACTCAATCATCATTAGGGTGTAATCGTGATATATTTAAACGTTTTTAAATTGTGACCTTTAGAGGGACCACAAGCTAAAGACGCAATATTTCTTACAATCAGGGGTCATAATTCAGGAAGTTATGGTCAATATGTGCGAATATCAAAAGGAATCAATATAAACATACATTTCAAGTTTCATCAAAATCGGATAAAAATTCTGACCTCTAGAGTGTCCACAAGCTAAAAACATGCAGTTACGGTCCGATACCTGCAAATTTCGAAAGGAACCCAGACCTTTGGGAGATAAACTATATTTCAAGTTTTGTCAAAATCAGATAAAAATTGTGACCTGTAGAGTGTCCACAAACAAATTGTGGATGGACAGGGGTGACGACAATATATCCACATGAAAATGTGGGCGGATAAAAAATATATGTCACTTTACATATACCACACCCTTTATATTTCAATTTTCTACCATTTGTCAATTGTGACATTTGAAAGGAGCTAAATCTCTATTCTTTGGCACCTAGAAATGGACACAAATGGGTCGTAACGCATATAATAATGAAATATGAATGTATCTAAACTGATTTACATTCATTCGTTTCTGTTTTTACTGTAATTTCTAACCAGTTATGTTCGGCAAAATACACAAAGAGTACAAATTGAATGGCAGTCTTTGGCATCTGGTTACTCTAATCTATGCCAATAGTATTCCTTTGTAGGATATGCTTAGCTTCGTTCACCGATTAGCTTCAATACAAATGCCGCTTGAAAGCATTCTGGCATGCGATTCGTTTCCCAATTTTAAAATGTTTATTTTGTCTTAAATATTGGATATGAGAAGCCCATGTTTTCAAGGTAAGATAACAAGATCAATGTCGAAGACTGTGGATGATACTGAGTTAGAGACTTGCCTCATTTAAGGAAAGGTTTAATTTTGGTCAGTTTAAAAAAAAAAAAGATATCACGCTTGGCATCCACTTTAGTCAGATGTGGCACATCATGATCTGAAATAATTTTCAAAATCTCATTTTGTGATTGTAATATATGTGGGCCTACACTGAAATGTAGGAGCTAGTATATTATGCGAACTACCTAATTGTTGACCTACCGACAGACGGTAATGATGACATGTGGGCATATAAAAATGTGATGGGGGGTGGGTTTGGGGTTGTGTGTTCAATACGACGTATGCCTATCGATTCAGCGTGACCGTTCCACCATCAACTCTAAACCTCCAAAATTACAACTAAAATGATATTGCTTTTCAAATAACAACTGTTACATCATCGATATACCAATACTCTTATAAATATTATATAATATAAACAAATTAATAAGTGATGTTTGTATAAATATTCTATAAAATAAATAAATTATTAAGATTATAAACCATTCAGTAATTATCAGAAAAATAAATACAGAAATACTATAAACATAAATAAATATCAAAGGAAATTGTTGAGCAAATTGTGCCGTACCAGTATCTCATCTTCAGGAATATTTCATTAGAGAAGAATCTGTCATCCATGTGTTCCTGGCAGCTCTATTCCAGGTGTTCCTGGCCTTGTGGATTCGGTTGTGGATATTCTTGCAGCTGTGTTTTGGGGGCTCTGTGAGCCTGAATAGCCAACTAAAATTGATACAATGTTATTTGATTAACAAATACAATAGTATTGTCTGGATGAGGAACCAAGCATGATCTCATTGGCACCCTCTTAGTATTATGACGCCAAGTTTCATGTCGACTGTACCTGAACTGGCCACAGGGTTGGGGGGATAGGGAGGTGGGTGGTAATGTACAGCGGAATGGGGGGGGGGGTGCGAAACACTGAATATTGTGGGTTTTCATTTTCTCATGACCCCAATGCTTAGCAGCTAATTTGAGAGATAGCTAAACAGCAGCAATGTATTGACAGCAGTTATCCGAAAGGAAAATTTGCCAAGGAGCGATAGCTAAAAACACGATGAATCTGGATGTATAATACATTATATAATAATGCATATAAATTTTATGCTGATCAGATAATCACTTTTTTGACAAAAAATATTGGAATATATTGCAGTATTGCAATACTTCTAATAAAATCAGAGCTTATCACAAAGCATAGTTTTATTTTGAATAGTTTTATTGTTTATTTCTTTTATATATAAGTTTTATATAAAATATTATTCTACAACTTTGGTTTTGTCTTTGGACACTTATAGGCTATCCTACTTCAGTGTTGGAGACAGTACCAAAAAAAACTAGTAACATGCTTGTAAAAGACACTTTTACAATGTTTAATAGACTCTGTTTTCAATAAAAAAACATTATTGTCTTACATCACAATAATTTATTCATTAGACTTTTTTTTATTCTTATTAACATTTTGCTCTGTTTTTCTTGGTCACTTTGTAAAACTATGGATCGTATGTAATGTAATATATGATCACGGCAACACCACACTATATTTAGTAATAGCATTCGTCAAGGCAAAAACAACATGAGTAATTACGATTGACTTGTATTGGTCCAAATGTGCAAACAAATAACAAATTTTGTGTTTAAGAAAGTCTTTATAAGCTGTCTAGCTAACATTTACAACAACCCTCAAGTGCTCAGCAAAATAAAACAAAAGTAGAAGAATATCGATACAGTAAAAATTTATCGCGCACGATTGTATTACAATATAGCAATATATTTTGACAGGCTTAGAAATATGTACAAAGTTTGTGGATACTCCAGAGTCCATAATTTTTGTCAAATTCAGATGAACCTTCACATACAAGTATATAATAAGGATCAAAAGATCTCGGATGAGTTTGAATTTGAAATATGTTCAAAGTTTGTGGACCCTACAAAGGCCTCAATATTTGCCCGATTTCGACAAAACTTAAATTATGTGTAAAAAATCAAAAGATCCTGGATGAATTTGAATTGGATGTGCATCATACCACAGTAATTTCCCCATTTCAGTAAAAGCTTGGAAAGAGTAAAGGCTATATTTCTTAACAGATTATTTTCAAATTCTGTTTGAAGCATTGGGGTCATAAGAGAATGAAACGTATTTATAATTAGTGTTCTATAACCTTTCCTTCCAGAGTTATGTCCACTCAGCCGAAAACTTTGTGAACACAACAGAGGCCAGTTTCAAACCAATCTTTTTCAGGTTTGGTGTGAACCAATGAGTTCATGGGAGGCTGAACCCTAGCGATATTCAGCGTTCCCCAACTTTCCATTTATGAAGTTATCAACCCTTTAACGAAAATCTTCGGAGCAGGATACAGTTTTTAACGAATTTAGTTCAAATTTGGTGTGTATCATTGGGGTCATTAGAGACGAACCCAGTTCTGAAGTTACCCCCTTATTCCAAAAACCTTATGACCGGATAGAGGCTACAGTTTTGAACAGACTTATTTCTAATCAAATGTGAAGCATTGGAACATATGGTACATATGTACATGTGGTACATATTTCACATTTTGCGTAAAAGACCAGGGGGCATAAATCCATAACGGAAATTCTGATGCGCCCTAATTTCTAACAAAAATTGTGGCCTCTAGATGGTCCACAACCTTGCATGCTTTTCCACTATTATGACGGGAGGTTTTAATCACGAAATGGGAACTTAAGTGAATTTATGGTTTAATGGTGAATGGTTTTTAAATAAAAGTTGTGACTTCTAGAGGGGTCACAAACTAAAGATTCAATTTTTCGTATAATCAGGGGCCATAATCCAGGAAGTTATGTCCAACATGCGCCAATATCGAATGGAACAGAGATCTTTGGGATATAAACATATATTTTAACTTTCATCAGAATAAGATAAAAATTGTGACCTCTAGAGGGGCCTGAAGCTAAATACAGGATTTTTCGTAAAATAAGGGGCCATAATTCATGAAGGTACAGACTGATAAATGCTAATATTGAAATGAATCCAGATCTTTGGAATATAAACATTTTTTAAGATTCGTCAAAATCGGATAAAAATTGCAACCTGCAGTGTCCACAAACAAAGAACTGACACACAGACCCACGGAAAATGTGGGTGTATCAGACTTCAATGACTCACCACTGCAAGCTTTAAAGATACAGTTGTATACCATTAGACCAGGCCATAAAAAGTTTTTCAAAATGTAATGCAATGAACCTGGGGGGCAAGCATTCAGGCCACTGAACTCTCAAATAAATAGAAAGTCCCCAGTTCGAATTTCAGCGTTGGTCGAGAAGAATATTCAGGATTTTTCAAGTCTGGCCTTCACTTGCCATGGGTGGAGTCTAAAGGGCTGATTATGATTTGTGACCAGCCGGTCGATGGGATCTGAATACACATTGAGATACTCACACAGAACTCTTGAATGTATAGGAGGAAATGCTGATGTCAAAACTCCCTTTCCCTACATTACACATGTAACCATCGAAATGAAAATAACCATATTTTTATGTTTGTATCAAACATATTGACAAGACATTATACCCCATTTCCATTGTTAATAAAAGCCACTATTAGTGTAAGTGATGGGACATGAGAGCTTTAGGGAGGTAAAACATTTATGTATATTACAAAAAGTCTTAATAATTTAGATCTAAATAACACAAATGTCAATGTAGTTGAGAGTAGGATATGTTCTGGAATTTGGGAGAGACTGTCTCTGGAGTTAGGTAGGTATCGGGAACACCAAAGGCTACTGGATATTCACGGACAGGTTGATGGTAAAGATGAGCTTGAAGTGCCACCTAAGGAGAGGAAAGAGTTAGGTGTTAGTATAGGTTAAAAAATGTATTTAAATATGGACACTGATTATTTATATCCCAGAACATTCGTACAATTTGTCACATCCAAAATAAGTTAGTTTTGAAAATTACACCATAAAACAGCATTTTTAGCATTTATTAATCTATTAGCACAATAATCTAGACTAAAAGGCACAGTATTAGTAGTCTTAAAAAAAAGCATAACAGTCCAAAAAATTATTACATGCAACATGGACGGAGATCAGAAATATCAAAGATAGTTTGCCAGGCAACGAAACATACGTCCACAGCAGTCAACAAGAGTTGTATATTTTTTCTATTGTCGGTAATGAAACATTTATAATACACTAAAATCTGATTAAGAGTAACAAGTCATTCAGTAATTGGCATTTAGTTCTGCCCATGTTCAAGTTATCAAAATTCATTGAAAATCAATATACTTGTTCGTCTCAAGACCTTAAAGTCAATCGGATGAGAACTTTGGTCTCTGGAGCATCCGATTTTATCGGAAATCATTAAAAATCACTGGGCTTCTTCGTCTCACGACCTTAAACAATGTGTATAAATTTAAAGTTAATTGGATATTCACTTTTGCCACTAGTGTCCACGAGATATTTCAAAGTGATCAAGGGCCATAACTCTAGCAGTTATTATTGGATATTGTTGAAAATCAATAGGCTTCTTTGTATAAATTGTGTCAATCACTGTAAGAATCTTTTTTCTGTCCTATCAATCAATGAACACATAATTTAGGAATAATTCACAGTAAATATATGAATGATATAACCATACAGTGTTTCAATAGTGTTCACTATAAACACAAATATAAATCTGTTTGTAGTGTAAAGTCTAGCTGTATTAAAGGACAATATTGGTGTCAGTCATTATTACATATGTGATAGAACTGGTTAAATACATTCCAAATATAATTTGAACACAAAGATCATTGCTACGGGAGATGAGTAACAAGCACGGGAAGAAACGGGAAGTGACGCCAAACATGACAAACACGAGTTATCCTTCTATATAACTGATTGAAGTAACGAGCGATAACAGACAAACGATCGAATTTCATTTCACTGATAATTCCGTTGAAGTTGAAAAGTTATTATATGGGACGGTGAGAGGGTATCTCACAATTCAAAAATAGAATTGACTGTCAGTAGATAAAAGATAACAAACAAATTAGAAAAAGTCTGTGCATTACCATGTTTTTATTAAGAGCAGAATGAATAAAAACGGGGGAATGCACATGATTATTCTATTTTTCTCGTTTTCCCATATCTAGTGACAGCCAATTCTATTTTTAATTGTGAGATACCCTCTCACCGTCCCATATAATAACTTTTCAACTTCAATGGAATTATCAGTGAAATGAAATTTGATCATTTGTCTGTTATCGTTCGTTACTTCAATCAGTTATATAGAAGGATAACTTGTTTTTGTCATGTTTGACGTCACTTCCTGTTTCTTCCCGTGCTTGTTACTCAGTTCCCGTAGCAATGATCTCTGTGTTAAACTTATATTTGGGATGTATTTAACCAGTTCTATCACATATTTTATAATGACTGACACCAATAATGTCCTTTAAGCCTGGCGCACACTACGCAACAACTTAAGTGGAGTGAGCACAATACACAATGACATTGGTGATCACACAAAATACAAACTGTCACGTGTTTCTACTTCATGTGACACATCAAACCACAATTTCGTTGTCAGTCTGTCAAACACTTCAATTAAAGATACATTCCCGGGTAGAAACTTTGTGATTTGATGACATATTTGGTCTAAAAACATATTCAAAGTAACCAATCTATCAAATATTTGCTTCAATTCCCTCTCAAAAATTTGTGTTCGCCAGGGATACCTATAGCTATAAGTAAGCTGTTGTTAGACGCAATGTCTGTCAACTTAGCTTCATTGTGGGAGTGTCCATTTTTCAGAATGTATTTATCATTACTTACTGTACATAAACCATACATAATTATTTCTGTCAACTTCTTTTTCCGCCGTTAAATTGCGAGAGTCGTTTGTACGTTGACACCCCTCAATGTTCCTAAAACGGACTAACCATTTGGTCAAGAAATAACAACCACTCCCTCACTTAAGCTAGCACACAAAGCCAGCAGACAACAGTCAGGTTGCCAGTTAGTGATACCCTGACAATTTTGCCCAGTGATTTCCCAGTGCAGGTTCGAACATTGTCAAGGCATTCACCTAATAAACACCTACACTAAGTTTGAACATTCTACCTCAATTAGAAGGAGAGTTATTGTTCATAACGGGGGATGGACGGAAAGTTGCAGAGTGCTTCATATCGATAGGTTTCATTCTCTCATGACCCCAATGCTTACAACCAAATTTGAAAAATAAATTGCTAAAAAAAATTCAGCCAATGGGGGGGGGGGGGGATAACTCCAGAACGGAAAGGCATAGTATGATGAATATCAACTCCCATAACCACAATGCTTCACATCAAATTTGAAAAGAATCTGTCACAAACTCTTCTAGCAAATTCGAAATGTCAAGGTTTCATTAATGTGCATGCCAATGTGTACAAGGGACCTCAGTTTTTTTCTGACCCATCTGAACAACTAGACAGCTGTCCTATGGCCACAGCAATGCTTGAGAACAGTATGGTTCAGCGATGAGTCGTGGTTCGGTTGTAATGAGGCCATGGTAGAGTGAGGGTATACCGACGACGAAATGTCACTATGCGTTTCTTATTCTGAAGAGTATATTAATGTTCTAAAACATTTGATAAAATAACAGGAGTTACTTACCCTGATTTGAGCTGGTGAAAGACGCTTTAATGTTTCTATATCCATGCCAAATACTACAGCATTCAATGCACCTATAAATACAAACAACAACTAACAAGGAGTTCCCATAGATGAAAAGACAACAGGCGCAGGCGTCGCCAGTCACTGGTGGATGCTGGGGCAAAACCCTAGCTTGAGGCGATAAAGACCCCTCACTAGCGCCAAACGCACGAACCCCAAATAGACTACTGGAAATGCAGTCTGGCAGTATTTCAGGCACCGATTGTCACCTGTTGGCTAATCACTAGAGAGGAAAGTGTCAAACCCCTCAAAAATTTTGAAAAGTAGACTGCCGGAAATGCAGTATTACAGGCAATGATTGTCGAGATAAATAGAGCTGACCAGCACTAGCTTATCCGACCAGAGTGGAGAGTGTCAAATGAAGAGAGTGAGTGAATCAAAGTGAATGAATATACTCCCCGCATTAGACCTACACCCCAAAATCGTTAAACACTGAAAATCGATAGAGTTTGCATCCTCTCATGACCACACTGCTTCACACTAAATTGTAAAAGAATCTGTCAAAAATTGTAGCTTCTATAGCATTCACAGCCCCTTGTTGACTGTCCGACTGACAGGGAGACGACATAATACACCCACACAAACTCATTGTACATATTTCAAAAGGGAGAGGGCGTAACTCTACAACATAAGGTCAGATGCACACCAAACAGGATTTTTTGTACAATACGCACCGTCGTGCCAATAATCCAGAAAGTTACGGTCCAATATGCGCCAATATTGAAAGATACCGAGATGGCTGATACATGCCTCAACAAGCCAACAGTGAGGCTGATGTCCCCCGCCGAAATAGGAAAATAATTAGAGGACACATATAAATTTATCACAAATTATCTTTTACAAAGTATTGAACAATCAAACCGTATATCTTTACTTATAGTCTAAGCATACAATGTTTTTGATGGAATAATTATAGCATATTAAGGGGAAATCATGCTCTATGCCTACAGATCTAGAGTTTGGTTGTATCAACGGGTCTATTTTCCATCTTGCTGCAAGTTGTGCAAAGTTCACTGTTTTCTTTCTGTCATTAAATGTCAATTCATTATTGCATACTACATATTTAATTAATTTATAATAGTTTCTTTTTCAATTTGTTTTTTCCATTTATTTGTTTATTTACCTTGCCTATATTCATTGTATTGGATTGTATTGGAATTGCTCAATTGATGCTTTTATCAATACCTGGTTATAATAATTTTGAACATTTTAACTCAATTCGAAGGAGTGTGACGGACAGACAGACAAACAGACGACGGACGAACCCATTTTAATAGTCCCCTGCTTTCTTCGAAAGGCGGGGGACAATAAGCATACACACCAATTTTGAACATTTTAACTCAATTCGAAGGAGAGTTATTGTGTTCCAAAGTCTCAGCAAATCAAATTGCTTATCGCTCTGCTTAATCTGAGCAGAAAATGCTCATTATCGATCTTAGTCAAGGTATTACTGTAATGAAACTATACACCAAGTTTCATCACTCTCACTTAATTAGAACTAAAGTTATAGTGTCCCAAAGCATCAACCAATCAAATTGTTTATCTACTTAATTAGAACTAAAGTTATAGTGTCCCAAAGCATCAACCAATCAAATTGTTTATCTCTGCTTACCCTAAGCGGAACGGACAGACAAACAGACAGACGGACGAACCCATTTTAATAGTTCCCTGCTTTCTTCGAAAGGCGGGGGACAATAAGCATGAACATTTACTCAATTCGAAGATCAACCAATCAAATTGTTTATCTCTGCTTACCATAAGCGGAACGGACAGACAGACAAACAGACAGACGGACGAACCCATTTTAATAGTTCCCTGCTTTCTTCGAAAGGCGGGGGACAATCAAAGTAGGAGAGTTATTGTTTTCCAAAGTCTCGACCAATCAAATTGCGTATCGCTCTGCTTACCCTGAGCAGAAAATGCTCATTATCTAACTTAGTCAAGGTATTACTGTAATGAAACTATACACCAAGTTTCATCAATCTCACTTAATTAGAACTAAAGTTATCGTGTCCCAAAGCATCAACCAATCAAATTGCTTATCTCTGCTTACCCTAAGCGGAAAATGCTCATCTTCGAACTCCATCAAGGCATTGACCTAATCAACACATACACCAAGTTTGAACATTCTAGCTCAATTAGGAAGAGAGTTATCGTGCCCCAAAGTATCAACCAATCAAATTGCTTATCTCTGCTTACCCTAAGCGGAAAATGCTCATCTTCGAACTCCATCAAGGCATTGACCTAATAAACACATACACCAAGTTTGAACATTCTAGCTCAATTAAAAGTTATCGTGTCCCAAAGCATCAACCAATCAAATTGCTTATCTCTGCTTACCCTAAGCGGAAAATGCTCATCTTCGAACTCCATCAAGGCATTGACCTAATCAACACATACACCAAGTTTGAACATTCTAGCCCAATTAGGAAGAGAGTTATCGTGTCCCAAAGCATCAACCAATCAAATTGCTTATCTCTGCTTACCCTAAGCGGAAAATGCTCATCTTCGAACTCCATCAAGGCATTGACCTAATAAACATTTTAGCTCAATTAGGAAGAGAGTTATTGTGTCCCAAAAAGTGTGACGGACAGACAGACGGACGAACCCATTTTAATAGTCCCCTGCTTTCTTCGAAAGGCGGGGGACAAAAAACTATTTTATCAATGGTTAGAGCTGTCTAATTGTGGGAAAATTGCAGTGACTATTGGCTGACAGCATGCATGCATGAATGCGAAACAGGATTTATTAATTGTATCATTTGAAAAAGGGTAAATATCACCCGAAACGTTATGAAGAATAAACCACTTCTTATTGCAACTTAAATCTGTTTGTACTATTACTATACCCAGATTTATGTACGTTTATGGATTTATCTTATGAACTCTAACCACCTGATAAGAGAAATTTATATCTGATAAAAATTTCCTACACGATCTACAACCTCAGATAAACTGCACAATGAAGAACACACCGCTGCAACCAATTTTTTCCACACTTGTACTATTTCATTCAAAATATTTTTGCCAATCTTAATTCCACCAAATTTATGAAAATCTTTAACTTTTATATCACAATTGATTTGTTATCATTTTTCATACAGTCAATTTTGTAGAATTTTTTATAATTTATTCTATTATTATTTATAGTCCAATGTAAAAATCTTAAAATCCCTGATTACTCTAATTGTTCTGTTTATTTTAATAATCTTCTGTTTTTAAAAATCATTATTTATAAATCGTATAAATTTTAAAATCCTATGACGTCACTACTATTGTGTATATAAAGGCGACACAGGATTTATTAATTGTATCATTAGAAAAAGGGTCATATGACCTGAAACGTTATGAGGAATTAAACACTTCCTATTGCAACTGGGGGGTTGGATGGCTGAATGGGTAGCACGTAAGCGCTGGATCATAAAGTCTGTCATTGAGTCAACTGGCGTGGTTGAGATTCTCCGGTTGTACGTGACAAGGAATAGGGTCGCCTGTCCAACCTCGTGGGTTTTCTCCGGGCCCTCCGGTTTCCTCCCACAGCTAAAGACCCCTATGCACAAGCGAATTATGGAAATAAAATTGAACCATGTTAGTCCCGAAATGACCTGGTTTGTGTCAAGTGGACGTTAAACCCCATTTTTTTTCTCTCTCTCTCCCTATTGCAACTTAAATCTGTTTTTACTTTCATTTTTTTATTTGCATATTGTATACATGTACTAAATGTATTATTGACTGGAATTATTTTTAGATCGATAACCTCAATGACCAACATATATTACCGTATAGTGCGCAACTGAATTTGCCATTATATGCAATAGAAATAAGTTATTAATAAAATATTTTCTTGACGTATCATGTTTCCAGCACCGAGAATTGAATTTTGTGATACTTTTCTGCGGATTAGAAACAAAATTCTCATTGGACAATATTTGAGAATTTGTTTACTTGAGCTTTATTTGCAGCTTGGGGAATTTGTAAAATATAATGAGAGTGATTTTATCCTCAGATGGCATCATCATTATTTAAATTGTTTCCTGTTTCTGTTGAAAATTTATTTGATGAAACTAGTCAGGATAGTGGACATGTATGATGTTTTAAATGGCAGTTTTATATTTCTGACTTTACACTAACTTTTTTCAGTATGTTTATGCTTCTAGTTACCTAGTAATTGTGATCTCATCAGAAATTTGTTGGCTTGAGTATACCTACTGATAATTGTGGATTTTCAAACTATAATGTGGATGTATAACAATACTTATATGTGGTTGAGCAGATACAAAGGTGGTGATTCCATCCAGAATAAATATTTACTGTGATATTGAGACACATAATACCAAACAGAATTAATACTTACCATGTAGTGGAGCTGATATAGAGGCAAGTAATACCAACCAGAATAAATGATAATCAGGTGAAAGAGCATTCTGAATTCTGAAAACAAAACGAATAGATATTATCTTAAAGATGCTATATTGTAAATTATTTACCTATACCACATAGCTTAAATTAAAGTGCTAGAATTTCTAAAATAATATGCATAATTAGCAATTAGTATAATTAAGTTAAAAATTTGATTCAGAATTGGAAGTGATGTTAATTTAACTCCCATGCAAGTTCCATATACAACTGACCTGTTCCATTTTTTCCATATCTTAACTGTAGGAGTTATTAACCAATTTCATTATTTTAGTGTTAAGATGCTTGACTAAATCCTTAAACTTTAAAGAGCACATAAAGTGGCCAAACAAGATTTTATGTACTTATAGGTAGTGGTTACTATATACACTTTACAGCAAGTTCACACCAATCTAATTAAAATTAATTGAGGAATCATCTTCACTCAAAGTCGCAAATATAGACCTCCAGTAAAAAAACCGACTTTGCCAATTATCGCAAACACTCTTAACTCCCTAAAATGCTGATAATGTCACGGTGACTGAGTGCATATTAGAAATGTTAATTCCTTAATTACTATATACACAGCCGTGATGCATACTCAATAATGCCTGACTGATTCCTTATTCTCCTAATAAAACAATTAACTAAGGAATAATTTTTACATACATGAAATGAGCGAGAGAAATTAGCAGAGGTTAATAGTAAGTACAGGTGGACTGCACCACACACAAACAAATATACAAGACAAATCTACAGACAAGACACAAAATACAGACATCAAAAACAACAAATGTACATATCAGATTTAGTGAATGAATTCGGGGGCTAGCCGAAAGCATCCACTGCGTTGTACAGTCCTGGGCCTGTAGTGACACAGACTTTACACAAAATGAAAAACAAACATACAATAAGGGAATACAGTAAACTTCGCATAAGTCGGATCTAAATGGACATACCAATTTTATCCGAGTTATGCGAAGATCCGAGTTAGCCGAAGACATAGGTCTCATTATCGCCCTGTACGTTCAGGAACTGTCCTATTTAATCCTTGTCGAAATAAAATCGGTTTCCCAGTCAATTTTACTGGGCAACTTTTTACTGCTTAATGGTCGTGCGTCAGTCTCTATGAACGCCTGGACAATGTAAAGGAACATTTAAGTGATAAAATAAGACCTTGCTTACCTCGGTAGAGTCAGTATGTGTGCAACAGAAAATAATGCCGATCCGAATTAGATCAAATGGACCGAACATTTTGATCCAAGTTGAGCGAAGATCCGACTTACGGGCAGAAATTTAATAAGAAAATCGTGCAGGATAAAAGGGTCCAAACGATTTTATACGAGTTGAGCAAAGATCTGACTTATACGAATCTGACTTATGCGAGGTTTACTGCATTTCCCAAATGTTGTATAATGCTAGTGAGAGTCATGATCTGCTATACGCTACATGAAATATAAATGTAGTCACATTGAAGGAAAGTTTAGAATTTGTTTTATAAATGCCATAACGAAGACAGTCGTAGCCATATTCCTGTATCATTTAGATCAGAATATATTAGAGTAATATATGAACACCAGTGAAGCCAATATAGATAATTCATTATGTCAGCTTTTACAAAACAAATGGGTTTCAAGTAATAATCATACAAATTTAGTTCATCAACATTTGTATTATTAATGGAGGAAAACTGTTGAGAGTGATCCTGTAATATTAGTTTTTTTTCAATTCGGACTAGATTTGTCAAGACAAATGATTGCTATAGTACCATCATATTATATGTTTTATACATATTTATCTCACGCAATGCAATCTTTTCATAACGAAAACATCCACACCACATATTCACATTTCCTCTAGCAGTGTTATAATATAGAACAAATAAAAATGAGAATAGTCCATTAACTTTCATACTTAATTGATCTATGTTTTGTTTATTATAACTTTTATGAGTATAACTTCTGGATATCAGCACCTTATGATCAGGAGATTAATGATTGGGTAATAATGTTTAGATTGTCAATCTTCAATATTATTATTGTAGGTCTATTGAGCCCTGTATTGTATAGGTCTACCATTTTACTTGCAACAATATACATGTAATGACAAAGGTAAACTAAACTAAAAAATATATGGGAAGCAAAACTATGACATTATAATGTAAAGGGCTATGAAAAACAAAAAGTGTACAAACCTATTAATAAGAGGGAATATAGAAACTGCCAGATATACAAATGGATAATATCTTAATGGTTTTATATCTTCTTTTAATAATTGCTGCAAACAGAAAAGTTCAAAATAATTGTTCATTTTGGGGCAATATACGTCCACATGAAAATGTGGGTGTATAAAAAGCATGTATGTCGTATTTCTACCCAGTTTGTTGAAACACAATACATAACATGACAACCCTTCACTTTGATCTGGGGTCTTCGGACAGTTGATTAAATGTTTTAAAAGATGGTGAAAATTATTGTTCGTCTGCTGTGTGGTATGATAAAAAGATTCCATGTGTGCGGCGATTACCCAATGTTTACTGTACATTGTAGCTATTTTGGATAGCCTTGTTTATCACACAAATAGTTTCTTTGCAATATTCTGTTATGCACTAGTTAATTGAGCGTAATATATTTCGCGCGTTATGGCGTAATGTAGCCATTGTCACCAGACATTTTACGGTAACATATTTAGAGCTCTTTTTAATCCTGATCGATTTTGTTACATATTAATGTTTTTGTTGTTGATCGGATTGTTAACCAGTCATAATTTGGGATAGAAATTTACGATGACTACAGCAGTGTTTGAGTGGGATTAGGTCTAATCAAACGAAACACTGCAAGGATTATGAACAATATGTAAAATCAGGCATATCAATTGATTGACCAGTCAATTCCATAGCCAGTCTGGACTAAAATGAGAACTATACCCGGTAACAAAATGAAAATCAAAAGATTATTTCTACTTAAATTGTTACTTACATGATTTCTTTCTGTATCAGGATCATATATACCTTCCCATGTTGTTGCCTAAAAATATATTTGAATAAGAATATAAATTAGTATTTGAAGGACACAAAGTATTTTATTTAATAAATAAAATTACCAGTTTGATTGAATTTAATGTTTTCATTTATTTTGTATATACTGTGTATAAATTTAACGTGGATCAGATATTAACTTTAGCCTCCAGACCACCCACAAGCAATTGTGCACACCGAACCACTAGACAGCTGGATGGACAGACAGACGATAACATACAATCACATTTCAATGTGGGCCTATCATAAGGAGCTTTTCCCAAACACTGTATTACTCTAGTGCAAATTATGATCGTTTAAAAAAAGAATATAAATTTGACTTACCTTTCGTTTCAAAATAACTATTATATACGTATAAGTCACAAATAGCATTATAATGATCAAAAACAATGGACCATACCAACTGAAAAATTAGATACAACTGTAGTCATTGGTATTACCAGCTTCAGGTACCTCATTAATTTAAATTATAAGTAGTTGACATGCAAGATACAGCAACATTTTCAAGAGATGGGCTGATAACAGGGAAAATCAATAGGGTTCATCTTCCTATTGTCCCACGTTGAATTTGGAAAATCAAAACATCAGTTAAGAACTGATTTAAGATTTACATGTATAATATAGTATGACATACAAATATGTCATACACATGCCGATTAAGTCTCAGTTTAGTGTCCTAAACTGTAGGGAACTTGCCCATAATGGGGACAATGAACAATGATCAAAATTTTAATATGTTGATTATAGCATTAATATTCTCTAGTCTACTGTGTATTACAAGTGTGTTCACAAATAACTCACAGTGAATATACATGATATAACCCTCATGTTGTAAGATACAGTGTTACAATAGTGTTCACTACAAGCATAAATATGTTTTTGTGTAAAAAGCAGGGGGCATAAGTCCAGAACAGAAGGTCAGTAGAGGCACACCAAAATCAATTTCTTGTCAAGATCTTTCAATCCTTAACATATATTTTAGGTTTCAAATGAATTGGACATAATTGTGACCTCTGGAAGGTCCACAAATTATGAACCTATTTTACATTTTGGGTAAATGGCAGGGGCATAAGTTTCATCAAAATTGGATAAAAATTGTGACCAGTAGAATGCCCACAAACTGAACTGAAGGACTGACAGACGGATTGCATAATACGTCCACATGAATCTGGGCGTATAAAAATCATGACGTATGGATCATAATTGATACAATATTGTCAACAGCACATGGAGTTGCACATTAAGCTTATGCAATACTGATATCAAATAAGCTTATCTAACTTCACAAATTAACAATCGATTATCCAGTGATGTTCTGATAGTCAATAGTGTTTCCCTAGTTTCGGTCACCCAGAACCTCCTAGTCTTCAATGTACGGAGGGTATGGGACCATTGTCAATATTTGACAAAAAGTCCACTGACCATGCGTAACCGGAGGTTATGTTATTAATGTGGTTGATGAACATTAACATGGACCATCTTGATATCTTGATGGCCATTCTACTCGAAAATATAGTACATGAACCCATAGCAAGATGATTACCATTCCAACAAATTTGACTCTGAATACCAACAATCTAATACTGAATTTTACGACCCCCCCCCCCCCTTCCCTTGCAGACCCCTTTGACTTCACTGACCTCCAAGATTATTTCATAGAAGCCTAAGGGCAGGGGCGCCGGAACGGCGCGAGGGCCAGAGTACCAAAAGAGAGGGTTGTCTCCCCTGGCCCCTAGAAAATTTTGAAATTTGTCAATTCGGAGAACGCAGTTTAGAGTGCCTCTAGCATTCCAAATTCCAACATAAAACCCTTTAAAATATATGATAATGAAAGAGACAAAAGCCTGATTATTCACAATTTTCATATAATGAGCAATTCATCTCATAAAAAATTATGTAATTGAAAAGGCTAATAACTATAAACAGAAACTAATATCACTAAATCACTTGCCTTTAATATCTCATGAACTCGATTAACCACTTATAGACATCTGGCCAAGGAGTGATAGCTGATAATGAGAGTGCGAGAGCTGGTTCGCGACAAACCAGAGAGCAATTACATATCTATCATTTAAAAATGTATAGACTAAAAAAAAGGTTGAAAACTTTCATCATTAGGGCATAGATATACATGTACACCCAAGAAAAGCGCAGGGTACCATTTGTATACCCTGGTACCCTGGTTCCGGCACACCTGCCTAAGGGATGTGTGGACCCAAGTTATATCCCAAATGCAGACGTATACCACATTGACCTTGTTTGGAATAGTTGTTGTTTATTCTAAATCATCTATACAGTAGAATCTGTATTAAGCAGCCACTCACGTGAATTTTCATGGCTGACCGCTTAACGGAAGTGACCTCTTAATAAAATCTCATTGTTTGTTAGTGCTGACGTCAATACCTGCATCCGTAAATTTGGACGTCACTAAAACTTGCTTTGAATGGAAATTCTTTGAATCAAGTCTCTGATGTAAACGTGTCATTTTGTACCAACATTGATACTACTGCCTACCATCATGATGTATTCGATAATATTTGTCCATTTTTGTAAAGAAAATTATTGAATTAATTTCATTTTATCAAAAAAGCACATGTCCCAAAAAACATTGCTAAATTTTTCACCGATTTTCAGGGGATGTAACTCTGTATGTAATAATGGAGGTGCTAAAATTATGTTTAGCAACAAAGTGGCAATGGAAAATAGATACTAGATGATCGTGACAAAACTCAGCTTTTTCGGTACTTACAGTTTATTCAATCAGTATCAAATAATGTTTCTCGTTACATGTGAAAACAATGATCAGCAGATAAGGGTTTGTTATTTAATAAAACAAAAGATTAATTAACAGATAATCCCAGGTTTATTGTTATTTTCACAGTTTTTCACCGATTTTCAGGGGATGTAACTCTGTATGTAATAATGGAGGTGCTAAAATTCTGTTTAGCAACAAAGTGGCAATGGAAAATAGATACTAGATGATCGTGACAAAACTTACAGTTTATTCAATCAGTATCAAATAATTTTTCTCGTTACATGTGAAAAAAATGATCAGCAGATAAGGGTTTGTTATTTAATAAAACAAAAGACTAATTAACAGATAATCCCGGGTTTATTGTTATTTTCACAGTTCTTTTTACCTGATCGGTGGAGGCCAGATAATCAACTATTAATCAATGGATTACCGGAGGTGCTAAAAGGTATGACAATATGGTATCAATCATTCAACAATGGCCGCTGAATGGGCGATATTTTGATAAAATTATAACTGAAACAGTGACTGCTGGCCACGTTAGAGGAGTGACCGCTGATTAAAGAGATGAAACAATAGAATTTCTACAGGAGGCATTTATCGTGACCGATTACAAGGAGATACCGCTGAATCGGAGTGGCTGCTTGTACAGATTCTACTGAACATCGTATACATTCAACGAGGGATAACATCCTTTGGTTTAAAAATAACTTACATTCCTAGTCTCCATCTCCAATTTTCAACAATCCAACTGAAAAAAAACAACCCAACACATTCTTTTCTTAATCAGTTGACATATAGAAAATTAAAACAAAGAAAGGGTCAAGAGCCAAACAGTGGTTTTCTGACGGGTTATATATGATGCAGAAACTGTGGAACAAGTGCATTGATGTCAAGGGGGATTATGTTGAAAAATCAGTATAACAATTTTTATATTGATTGCATATTACTTAAGACGTTCGGAAACTTTGGGAACACCACTTGTATGGCTGTCACCATTAGCCCGGTTCGTGCAGAAAAGTAGGACGTTAAACCTCATTTCATTCATTCGCACATCTATAGATAAATAACTGAGAGAAACCAAGAAGGAAATATATAACTTACCACCAAGCACCAGCCGGACCATATTGATCTCCTATAAACGGAAGGCAAGATATTACCAGGGGGAAAACCCAGCATAACACATGGTAAGCCCTGTAAAATAGATGCCACTGTTATTAGTTGTTACTAAAAATTACCAGGGGATGGGGTAGGGGAGAAGCACAACTATCCATGGTCTGTCACAATCACACAAGTGCAATTTGTATGTCAGTATGGTGGATAGACAGATTAATCTAGCACAACCATATAAAACATAATAAATGACATTTTAAAAAGAAGAAGTGAAATTCTTAGAAGTCAGGTCAAATGTTGATGCCAAACATTTAAGCTTGTCATACGGTGCTTATTTTGAAATCCATATCATAATACATTTTCAAACAAACGTCCGGTTGATATGTTTTCTGTTCTAACATAGTGACTTTTAGACAGATTTTAATAACTCTTTTTTCCTTAAGATTCTTGAAAAAAAAAAACAGGTCAACAAAACACAATTATCTACTAGATATTGTTAGTAAAATTCCAAAGTAGTGTCGAATAAACCTTTCACTAGGGAAGAGCAGGAAAAATCCATGTAAATTATCCAAAAAATAACCAACCCCCTGGCAACAAACTTTACAAGACTGTGTGAAAGAAGCCAGTAGCGAGGCCGATGTCTTCCACTGACATCCCAAAATAAATAGATGGCACATATTAACATGTTAATTAATTGGATATTTATCTTTTTCAAAAGTATCAAGCAATCAAACTGATTGTCTAAGCAGAATATGTTCATGATCGAACATAGTCAAGGTTTTGAAGTACCTGGTAATGAAACGATACACTAAGCTTCATCACTCTTCATCAGTTATCTCGTCTCAAAGCATCGACCAATGAAATTGCTTAGCTTTAGCAGAAAATGTTAATCATTGAACTCAGTCAAGACATTCACCTAATGAACATCTACACCATGTTTAAACATTCTACCTCAATTAAAAGCAGAGTTGTTATGTGCCAAAGTCTTGAATAATCAAATTGCTTATCACTACTTAGCCTAAGCAGAAAATTCTCATCATCGAACTTACTCAAGGTATAGATATATTGAATCTATACTCTGAGTTTCATCGCTCTCACCCAATTAGAACCAAAGTTATCATGTTCCAAAGTCTCAACCAATCAAATTGCTTATCTCTGCTTAGTCTTATTGGAAAATGCGCATGATCGAACACTGAAAAGGCATTCACCTAATAAACACCTACACTAAGTTTGAACTTTCTACCTCGATTAGAAGGAGAGTTATTGTGTTTGAAAGTCTCGACTGATCAGATTGAAGTCTCTACTTTGCCTAAGCAGAAAAGGCCTATCATCGAACTTAGTCAAGGTATTTATTTACTGATATTATGAAACAATACACAAGTTTGAACTTTCTACCTCGATTAGAAGGAGAGTTATTGTGTTTGAAAGTCTCAACCAATCAGATTGAAGTCTCTACTTAGCCTAAGCAGAAAAGGCCTATCATCGAACTTAGTCAAGGTATTTAATTACTGGTATTATGAAACTATACACAAAGTTTCACCACTCTTACTCAATTAGAATCAAATTTTTGAGCTCCAAAGTTTCGAACAATTAAATTACTTATCGCTCCACTTATTGTGTCCCAAAAAATGTGACGGACAGACTGACGGCTACCTGATGATAGTCGGTGTTTCATTATTTTTGTAATTAATATTAACTATTTTTTTTTTTGTACACATTCATTTTAATCATATCCATTGTTAATTATTTTAATTTCATGTACATTATTAATATTCTTAAAGATACATTATGGGAGATTAGATAACGAGTTGGCAGTTCTCACTATAATAGTTAAAAACTAGATAATGTAAGGGCAATTTTCTGAAAATTTCAGTCAAATTGATCCACTATGAACCGAGAAATAAGCGATTGAAAGTTCTGCATAGTCTCGGTCATCATTACTAAAGTCGGTACGAAAAAAATCATAGCCTCGATTATCCAATAATCGTTAAATCGAGAAGGAAAGTTGTGCAGCAAATCGGATCATAATCCAACAATTATCGCAGGCTAGCGTTGACATCGAGAGTTGATTATGGTCTGGATACGTTAATTAATGTCTAATTAATAGTTATATAACATTTCAGGCCTAAAGAAGACCTGCAATTGGCAGATTTAGCTCTTGCATAATGTATTTTTAATATATTTAAATTATGATTATTCTTATAATGCCAGGAACGTGTCATTGATTAAAAAAAAAAATATTTCACACTTAATGTATAAGTGTGTGATTGTGTTGTATAAAAACTAACAAACTTGTTTCTAAGACAACTCTAGTTACTATTATTATTATTAAAGAGACTTGCATTAGAGAATGGCAAAATAGATGGTATAGAGGGAAAACCCAACATAATCCAAGGTTAGCTCTGTAAGCTATTATTACTACAAATAACATGCACTGTATAAACATGCATAAATTGGGACATTCCTCCATGTAGAATAGTATTGGCGGAGAGTATATAGTTTTACACTATTTATTATAGCTTACCATTCATATCTATCTGTTAATTTAGCTTTAATTACATTCATATAAAGATTACCAGTTATACAAGCCACCCATAATAATACTGTCCAATCTGTTAATAAATAGAGATGCATCAATAGAACTAGTCAATACAACAGAAATGACTATAATACTTGCAATTAAATGAAATAGGGCTTAACGTCCTACTGTGTGGCACCTACTGGTACTAGCATTGGATTGAAATGGGGTATAAAGCCTTGTCAACAAAAAACTTGGGTCATTTTCATTTCTATGGTTACATGTCATGTGCAATATGATGAAGAGAATTTTGCCCTCACTTTTTCACCTACTCTTCATTGAATTTCAACTGTCAAGGGTTCTTTTAAGAAAACTCTAATATGTACAATGGTATGACAGCATCACAGATGCCACATTCAATTTAATAAATGAAAGTATCATACCAAAATATGTCAACCACCATCCTTGAAAATTACACGTCGGCCCATCAGGTCTCATACCACTCTGAAAAACAATTGAAATGGGTATTAATACAATCAAAAACGGTTGTACAATTTGATGTCCTTATCAGTTTTACCATGAAAACATTGCATAGTTGATTTCCCCTTATGCAGTTTGTCTATTTATAGCAATTTTCTCTTTGGGTCTAGAATGAGAGAAAAAGAGTATATACCTTTTCAGCCTGGTTTTTGCAATTATTCAAGATTTGGGGGAAACAGGACCTAGAGGTAAACACCCAAAAATAGGAAACTGACATACAAAAAGCATGTCACCGCTTATAGATTCTTTTGATCGGACAGCCAAAAAATCAAGAGACGGTCAACCCTCTTCAATATTTTTATCACATGATTGTGACATGTTATAAAGATTAAGATCAGTGGAATGTCCAAAACAAGCGATTGCCATGCATGAAACACTCATATTTTGTAAGAGAGCATGGAAAAATGAATAGGGGTCATCCTCTCATGGTCCCAATACTTATATACTCAGAATGATATATTGTTCTAATGTTTTTTGTATCTAATTTAAATCATGTTAACTCTGTATACCTGTACCAACATGTTTTTAACTGATAATAATATTAAGTAAATTTCATCTTTATTTCAGGGTGTAGTGATTATTAAAACCTGATCAAATAATTGTCAATACTTTACAAAGTTTCCGTATTTTCAGGTAAAGCGGTCTTTGTCATATTAGATGTTGTTATTAGTATGACCTTAATCATAATCATATTACATTAATTAAGTTAGAAGGTAGTCTATGGTGGGTCAGCATTAAGTTTTGTTTTTTACATATATGTATTGTCTCATTATATTTTATATTTTATCATTGCTTGATAAAGACTAGTGAAACCTAGCTGAATTGTCTCGTTATATTTTATCATTGCTTGATAAAGACTAGTGAAACCTATTTGAAATGTCGCTCAGTAATAAGCAGTAATTGTATTCCATATAATTGTGACCTATATATTCCAGTTCAATTACCTAATGCTATTGAAAAAATGTATCTTCCCTTTTGCTTAACACTTTATCTGAGGTCAAAAGTTAGAATAAGGGTTCCATTAGTGTTACATTACGTCTCAAATGCTTATTCTAACACTGCTTTTGACCCAGCCTATGGTGACCACAGTGTCCTCATCATGAATATACTACAGCCATGTTAAAATATTGTACTTACCATTAAATAAGCAATACTATCCATTACAGCTCCAATGCTTAAATATAATATTAACCTCTGAAATATCCGATAAAAAAAAATCACATATCTTTTAATGCCAAAACATGCCAGATTAAAGCTAAATATCGAGTTGAATACAACAGAAAAGCAAAAACACTGGTACTATTTAAAAATGATACTAGTTATTCAGATTCATCAGTTCAGAGTTTTGATCTCAGTATTTCTAGCAGCTATCCAAAAGGTGAAGGTTGCAATTTTATCAAATTAGGATCAATTCTTTTGGCAAATTTTTAAGTCATAAATCTAAAAATAGCCCCACAAATTTGAAAAACCTTGATGTACCATATTTTTACACTATTTGCGTATGAGTGGCGGCCATTTTTTATACGCCCACATTTTCATGTGGACGTATTATGCCGTCGCCCCTGTCCGTCCGGACGTCCGTCCGTCAGTCCACAATTGTTTGTGGACTCTCTACAGGTCACAATTCTTATCCGATTTTGACGAAACTTGAAATATAGATTTATCCCCAAAAGATCTCGGCTGCTTTCGATATTGGCATGTATCGGATCGAAACTTCATGGATTATGGCCCCTGACTGTACGAAAAATCACATTTTTAGCTTGTGGACCCTATAGAGGTCACAATTTTTATCCGATTTTGTTGAAATTGAAATGTAAATTTATAACCCAAAGATCTCGGTTCCTTTCGATATTCGCGCATATCAGACCGTAACTTTCTGAATTATGGCCCCTGATTGTACGAAAAATCACGTTTTTAGCTTGTGGACCCTATGAAGTCATATTTTTTATCCGATTTAAAAAACCGTATTATTATATCACCGTTACACCCTAAGGACGATTGAGTTCGAATTTCGTGAAAATGGGCCCAAAATTGACAGACAAAATGGCCGCCGTTCGTTCTCAAATAGCATAAAAATATGGTATATCAAGGTTGTGGATTCTATGGAGGTCACAATTTTTATCCGATTTTGTTGAAACTTGAAATGTAAGTTTATAACACAAAGATCTTGGTTCCTTTCGATATTTGCGCATATCGAATTGTAATTTCCTGAATTATGGCCCTTGATTGTAGGAAAAATCCCTTTTTTTTAGCTTGTTTTCTATCCATCTCTCGAAAATGTGGGCGTATCCTGCTGGTTTCCGTCAGTTTTGGTCCAATTATCCCGAAATTCAAACTCAACTGACATTACGGTGTAACGGTAATATATTAGAAAAGTTATTAAATCGGATAATAATTTTGACCTTCAGAGGTACCACAAGCTAAAAACGATTTTTTCGTACAATCAGGGGTCATAATTCAGGGAGTTACAATCCGATATGCATGAATATCGACAGGAACCAAGATCGTTGTGTTATAAACATGTATTTCAAGTTTCATCAAAATCAGATGAAAATTGCAACCTCTAGAGTGTCCACAGCTAAAAACCTGATTTTCCGTACAATCAGGGGCCATAATCCATGAAGTTATGGTCTGATACATGCCAATATCGAAAGGAACCAAGATCTTTGGGAGATACGCCCATATTTCAAGTTTCCTCAAAATCAGATAAAAATTGTGACCTGTAGAGTGTCCACAAACAAATTGTGGATAAACGGAAAGGGGCGACGGCATAATACGTCCACATGAAAAGGTAGTCATATAAAAAACCCTAAAACAATCACACATCCTTGTCTAATCATAAATCAACTTTTCTAAAAAATTCGATGAAAACTGTGACCTCTATATCATGCTAACAAGTAGTTCTTACAAACAAGGTGCATAACTCTAACAATGTTAATCAAATTTTATCGAAAAACAAATACGTATCCTCGTCCTATCATAAAACAAGTTTTCTCAGAGTTTCCGAAAAATATGATCAAAACTCTGGCTGACAAGCATTAAAAGCAGTTGTGATAGGTTTCGGCAAAACAAGGGCATAACTCTATAAACAAGAGCATCGGTAACGCTGCGATATACGTCAACATTCCTGCTTTGATTGATAATGATATGGTACTTTTTAAAATGAAAAGAATGAAATATGAAATGGCTGTAATATGACAAGAGGCAAAGAAGGTTAGGCTTTTGTTTTGCCAAATTTACAGACAAAATATTAACAAAAAAGTGGGTGTGACACTGCCCCAGGGGGTCGGGGCATGCACCAAAATAAACAGTTGCAGTCTTTACAGTATAAGGAATAAATATGTAAAGTTCCAGGATAATACATTCAGAACTGTGGCCTTTAGGTGCTAAAGACACACAAACATTAGGCATAGATCTATCCCAGGGGGCCAGACATGCACCAAAAATAATAATAGAGGTCCACCTTAGGGTAAAAGGAATAAGTATAAAAATGTTTTCAAGACGATCGATTAAGAATTGCGACACACAGACACACAAAAAGAAAATGGGCATGGCTCTGCCCCTGGGGGTTGGGCATCCACCCCAAACGATAGGGATCTTCCTTAGGGTACAAAAAATAAGTATGCAAAGTTTCAAGATGATATGTTAAGAAATGTGGCCTGTGGACGACAAACAATCAAATACAAGAAATGGGCGTGGCTCTGCACCTGGGGGTCGGGCATGCACCAAAAACAATAGGGATCATCCTTAGGGTATAAGGAATAAGTATGTAAACTTACTTTCAAGATGATCACTTAAGAATTGTGGCCTGTAGGCGACACACAGACACACACACATACATGCACACACACACACAGACAGGGGCGACGGCAATATATGTCCACTGTGGACGTATAAAATTAATCCAATTTTGACAAAATGAAATAGGGATCCTCGTCTTGTCATAATACAAGTTTCCTGACACTCCAATAAACCAGGTAGCCTCTATTGTGCTGACAAGAACTATGGACAGTTCTGCAACCAAGGGGTATAACTTTAAAAATAGTAATCTGATTTTGACGAAAATAAATAGGGATCCTCATCTTGTCATAATGCAAGTTTCCTGAAGGTTTCAGGAATCTGATAAAAACTGTAGCTTCTATTGCGCTGACAAAAAGGGTTATTACAATACATGTGATGTCCACATTAACATGTGGGTGTATAAAAATGTGATTCTCCCTGTAAAGAGTTCAGACTGTCGTTCTAATGTGTTTTTCTTACCTGTGAAAATATTGAGTATTTTTTAAATAACCATATCACAGATATCATAAACACACTGGAATAAATCAAGTTTAAAATACAAATACAATTTTAATTTTTAACCTAAATATACTTTAGATGTAATGAAAATGCACCAATGATATCACTGGAAAGGCAGGAAAGACATAATGCAGCTAAAATGTGATTTGTGGCATATTTGTGTGCTGGACATTTACCAACACAAGAACTTGAAGGAGATCAACAACAACCAATAAAGCTTGTTTAACATAGTCATAAGGGGTAAAAATGGCTGCTTTTGGGATCCCTATCTACTCTCACAGCAATGCTGCTTCCAGATTTTGAGGGTGGGGGCAAGGTCCCACAGATGCTTGATCGAGCAATGCCATGATATTTTAGTTCAAGAAATTCATGGAGACGTACTGTATACCCTTAAGCATAATCCTCCTGAAACGTGTCCAGATCTTGATGACATTTGAAAAATGGCAAAACATTACGTATTGCAACTTGCACCAGTTGCATGTTCGGGCACCCTCATATACATGTAATTGAAAATATAAACAATAATAAACCACAAAAAAACACCAAGCAGCTGATTAGAGTTTTGGGGGGATTTTGTTTGGTGTTTGAAGAGAACTGATCTGTAGTGCTTTTACTCCATCCTGAAAACTTCATATGTTGTTATATTCAGAATCGCAAGATAATTTCTCTCATGTAAGATTTACAATCATCCATTTATATAGGTGTTGCATTTTTATTGCATCTCGGTAATTTAAGAGGGTTTCCCCTTTAATTTGATTTATATATAAGTTAAAGAGTCATGTATTAATGAATTAACATCCCCCTTTACATTACTATTTTGAAGTATGCCAGGAACAGTTCCGACAACAGAACGGGTAACTTTTTAGTAGTGTACAATTGTCAAACATAAGTTTTCCGTTCAGAGAACAGTTCCAATCTGGACCACTGAAGTTTGGTGGTTCTGGAACCGTTCTCAGAAAACGACATGGTTAAATTTTCATAGCGTAAAACAATAATGTAACAAGACCGCCAACATTTGTTTTCACCCGGGTAATTAGTTACTTAAATAAAAGATTCTTATCGGCTTTGGCCTGTAGCTGTTACTGGCTGATCCTATACACAACTAATATGAAAATTAGGCTTTTCCCCTATTTCGGAATCCTTACCGTCTATTTTTCACCGTGATTCTTCTTTGTTCGCCAAAAGGAATCATTTCTTGTCACATCTGACACAAATTTATAATAATCCAACACTATTTTCAAATCAAAAACACAAACAAGATTCGTTTGAAATGATCCGCCATTATGAAACTCACACCCTGCACTCAGCCAATATTACAAATTCAGGAATGGAATGTTATCGTGAACGAAAATTCTTGCTGAACTTCAATTATGTATTAATCAATTTTATGTCATAATTGTTTATGTATGTTTAATACACATAAACTTTAGTGGTATCAATATTGACAGTTTTTTCCTTTCATTTAAGTTAGCAAGAACGTATGTTTGCGGTAAGTGCTTGTCGGCTATGTGCATTAAATAATAAATATGGAAAGTTTTCAGAACGGTGTACGTATTTGTCATTATTTTTTGTGGTAATCACATATATTAGCCTAATTCAGAATATGACATTCTACAAAACAAATTACCAAGAATTATTTTTGCTGAAGTCTGGTTTATATGAATGGGAATGGGAGCTTTTAATTACCCTATTTCCTACCGGGACCTCTTTTGACCCAATTCTGGCCAGTTCGTATCAAAATGGATTAAGAACCCTGCTGTGCACATAATATCCCTGTAAATGAAAGATAAGAAGTTACTTACCATCCTATAAAAGAACATGAAGCTGTTATTTTTCTAGCTACTACTACAGTATCCTGTAAAATCATAAAAACAATGTCACAATTAAAATTAAATATTGGTACCGGTATATACTAGACAAAACTGCGTTGATCCCCTGTACATTTATTTACTTTAAACAATAATAAATAGATTTGTTTCAATTTAGCTTTTTTTTCGAATTTGATGAGAAGCAATGTGGTTATTAGAGGACAAAATCTATTGATATTCAGCATTCTGCAACTTTCAAGAGATTTAAGGAGAGTTATTGTGATCCAAAGTCTCGACCAATAAAATTGCTTACCCTAAGCAGAAAATTCTCATCTTCGAAATCCATCAAGGCATTCACCTAATAAACACCTACACCAAGTTTGAACATTCTAGCTCAATTAGAAGGAGAGTTATAGTGTCCCAAAACGTGTGACAGACAGACCCATTTTAATAGTCCCTTGCCTTCTTTGAAGGCCGGGGAACAAAAATAACAATATATTGAGTAGTCTTTTATTTTAATTATGAATCGAATTAATAAAGCAAAATACTGGTCCAAGAGAACTTCTGTCTTGGTCCGAGTGGTCTATCGACTGGTCTGACTTGTCTTTTGGTTGATCCGACTGATCTTGGTCCGAATTGTCTGGTTACCGTCTGAATAAGCTTGGTGTTAGTGTACTTCCCGAAATTTTAAGGGTGACTAGCGATGACCACACAAAAAATTTCAGACGATTCGATCAATAACTTTTTATTATACAGACCTTTTTTTTTTCTACAACATGATGCTGCTTACCAATCTGTTTTACAGACCTAATGCGACATCCGTCTTTTATCTCTGTCCAAGATGACTGACCTTTAAAAAGTCAGATCGCTGTAGTTCTAAGGGTGACGTCACATCACAATGTTTACCAACAAAGCAAGATGGCATCGATAATGCCAAAAAAGATTACTTCTGTGGCTTGTTTTTGTTGTTTTAAAACAAACACGAGCAGGACAATCAGATTAGACGGTAACAAGCCAACAGTGAGGCTGATGTCCCCCGCCGAAATCCCAAAATAAATAGATGACACATATTAATTAATCGCACATTTATTTTTTTCAAAAGTATTGAGCAATCAAACTATAAACTAAGTTTCATCACTCTCTATCAGATAGAATCAAGATTATCCTGTCCCAAGGCATCGACCAATGAAATTGATTAGCTCTGCCTAGCTTCAGCAAGAAATATTAATCATTGAACTCAGTCAAGACATTCACCTAATGAACATCTACATCAAGTTTAAATATTCTACCTCAATTAAAAGCAGAGTTGTTATGTTCCAAAGTTTTGACCAATCAAATTGCTTATCGCTCCTTAGCCTAAGCAGAAAACTCTCCCCATCGAACATAGTCAAGGTAATGATATAATGAATCTATATTCGAAGTTTCATCGTTCTTGCTTCATTATAACCAAAGTTATCGTGACCCAAAGCATCAACCAATAAGATTGCTTATCTCTGCTTACTCTAAACAGACAATGTTCATCATCGAACTCCATCAAGGCATTCACCTAATGAACATGTACACCAAGTTTGAACATTCTACCTCAATTAGAAGAGAGTTATTGTGTTTGCTTATCGCTCTGCTTACCCTCGACAGAAAATGTTCATTGTCGAACTTAGTCAAGGTATTGATGTTATAAAGCTATACACCAAGTGTCCTCGCTCTCAATTAGAACTAAAGTTATCGTGTCCCAAAGCATCAACCAATCAAATGGCTTATCTCTGCTTACCCTAAGCAGAAAATTCTCATCTTCGAAATCCATCAAGGCATTCACCTAATAAACACTACACCAAGTTTGAACATTCTAGCTCACCGAGGCGGAGAGATATTGTGTTCCAAAGTCTCGGCCAATCAAATCAATTGCTTATCGCCTTGCTTACCCTGGGCAGAAAATGCTCATGATCGAACTTAGTCAAGGTATTAATGTAATGAAACTATACACCAAGTTTCACCACTCTCACTTAATTAGAACTAAAGTTATCGTGTCCCAAAGCATCAACAAATCAAATTGTTTATCTCTGCTTACCCTAAGCAGAAAATGCTCATCTTCGAACTCTATCAAGGCATTGACCTAATAAACACCTACACCAAGTTTGAACATTCTAGCTCAATTAGAAAGAGAGTTATTGTGTCCCAAAAAGTGTGACGGACAGACGGACGAACCCATAATAGCCCCTGCTTTCTTCGAGATTCCATAAACCCTTTTATCATTTACTTATAGATTATCCGTTACCAGTTACCATTAAAAATTAGTCAAGGTATTACTGTAATGAAACTATACACCAAGTTTCATCAATCTCACTTAATTAGAACTAAAGTTATCGTGTCCCAAAGCATCAACCAATCAAATTGCTTATCTCTGCTTACCCTAAGCGGAAAATGCTCATCTTCGAACTCCATCAAGGCATTGACCTAATCAACACATACACCAAGTTTGAACATTCTAGCTCAATTAGGAAGAGAGTTATCGTGCCCCAAAGTATCAACCAATCAAATTGCTTATCTCTGCTTACCCTAAGCGGAAAATGCTCATCTTCGAACTCCATCAAGGCATTGACCTAATAAACACATACACCAAGTTTGAACATTCTAGCTCAATTAAAAGTTATCGTGTCCCAAAGCATCAACCAATCAAATTGCTTATCTCTGCTTACCCTAAGCGGAAAATGCTCATCTTCGAACTCCATCAAGGCATTGACCTAATCAACACATACACCAAGTTTGAACATTCTAGCCCAATTAGGAAGAGAGTTATCGTGTCCCAAAGCATCAACCAATCAAATTGCTTATCTCTGCTTACCCTAAGCGGAAAATGCTCATCTTCGAACTCCATCAAGGCATTGACCTAATAAACACATACACCAAGTTTGAACATTCTAGCTCAATTAGGAAGAGAGTTATTGTGTCCCAAAAAGTGTGACGGACAGACAGACGGACAGACAGACAGACAGACAGACGGACGAACCCATTTTAATAGTCCCCTGCTTTCTTCGAAAGGCGGGGGACAAAAAATGTACTTCTGAAAGAATTCAGAGTAAACAAACAGAAAATTGATGGTCACACGTGCGTTGTTTACATCGAACGTAGTAATGTGAACTGGTACAGGCAGAATTATATCGTTTTACCCATTTTACGCCTCCGCGTACTATTTTCTGTACCTATTTACGCTAATTATGGAATATTTTTTATCAAGATATACTTCAAACACCTTTATTTATTTTTCTAATACTAAAAAAAAATGTTTCAGAATTTAATTTGTCGAAAGAAAAAAGTTAATATTTTGTAGTCATTAAGTCGCATCGATGTCATCCTTATCAGTGATTGTAGCGGCCAAGCGAATATTCACTACGGATCAGTGTGGCTGCTTACATGTATTTACTATTTAGACTCGAATATCAAGACACTAAATGACTAAGCTTCCTTGTCAGCAGTCCTTGGGACTTTATTTCACTTCTCCAGATTTAATAGTTCCAATAAGATGCCAATGAAAAAGTTATTTTCAATTAAAGTTTGTTGGTGGATTATTGTCTGCGCGTTGTGTTTTTTATCAGAACACCTTGAAATGGTTCCACTACTGATGTTTTCCACCTTACTCCAGCCACAGTAGTGGCTCGTCCTACAGAGTTCCTTTGCGCAAGTTTTTTAGTCAAATGACTACAAAAAGGTTACTGGCCTACAGCTCCCTTAATTTACACATAAACTGACCCAAAACAGTACTGCACATAGCTTAACATATAATAAATCAATTCCCATTGAAATAAAGGTGAAGCCTTACCGCATAATTATATGATTTGATGAAACCAAACTGCTACGCGAAATTTCAACTGGCCGGTGTCATGGCAGCTTGCGTAATACGTCATTACAAGAAACATCGCTATGCAAATGTAGAACGCATAACCACAAAGAAAAACTGTTCGGTAACTATTTTAGTGGTCCAGTCTTCATGATATGTGTTGACAATTGTGCGTTAGAACCTATTTGAACTTGCGTAAGGAGTCTTAGACTGTATCAATTGTAACGTTTAACACGCAGTTTAACGTTACAAGTATAGTAACTACAGAACACCGAGCATGATCTTTTGCAGGGTTTATCTTCCATTTTGCTAAAGTTATAGCTTCTTGATGTGATACAATAGGCCTCAATAGGGCCTACCTAAACAAAGCGCCACACCATTCGATTACCCTTTCCAACTGCATGTTCAAACACACTCAAATCCTGGTTGAGTAAGCGTAGCAAGTAATCGAACGCTATATTATATAACAGTCCGTTCACTTGTTCATTGTGTTTGATAGACTGTCTATCGACTTAACAAATTAACAGAACAGGGAATAAGGGACCGGAATGTTTGATTAAACTTAACTTAACTACACTAACTGGGGTGTTGGCGAGGAAGCTGAGTGTGTAGACTAGGAAGTTAATTAGTGTCATAATATTTGAGTCTAAGTCTCTACGACCATGTGAACTATTCTGAGGTGAGATGGTGCAATTGCGCCGAAAATTTCGGCCCCTTTGCTGCGGTCTGCGCCTACGCTACGGTGATCGCCTGCCCGCTGCCTGGAGTCCCTGTTATTCGGAAAAGGACGTCGAACTACTTTAGTATCTTCAAATTTTGATTGATTTTTTTAAATAAAACAATTCCACGAATTAAACTTACACAGTGACTTGGATTCTCGGGAAATATTAAACAATCATGAGTTAAATTTCGCAATTCTGTCCAGTTTTCGTCTTTAGCAGACATCTTTGTTGTTTATGTCCTGATTGCAGTCTACATCCGGTTGTTAGTGTAGACGTCATTGGTCCAGTGACAGTCCGTGTTCACCGCTGATCTATTTATAGATCAGTGGTGCGCACTGATCACTCGGCAAACTTCGGCAGATTCTGGGGTCTGTTTCACCAAATTTTAACTTAGATAAAATCCAAATTTAGTAATTTGATTGGATAATATTAGACTGATTTTAGTGCTTATCCAATCAAAATTGAAGTATCTACTAAAATTTGGATTTTATCTTAAGTTAAAATTTCGTGAAACAGGCCCCTGGTACACTGTAATAAAAATATCCGTGAAAAAATGTAAAAAATTCCGGAAACAAAAATTACCAGGAAAATTATATCCGTATTTATTTTTTCCTGTAATTGATAGAAATTCCTTCAATTAAAAAAAATCCTGGTAAATTTTGTTTCCTGAGCATGAAGGTGATAAAAATTTCATTGAATTAACCATTGACTTTATACGCGTGCGTGAAATAGCTTAATTTAACTTCCGCTGAAGTGATATCGCAGACAATCTTTAAACGTAACCTCTTTTCGCTAATATAAAAATACGGAATATCCTAATTGAGAAAGGTATCACAAACCGTTACTCGTCAGTGGTTGGACCGATTGGAGGCTTTCAGATGTAAGCGTACTTGATTACCAGATAATGCAACCTTTACACACGCAGCCTTAAAACATATTTTTACACATTTATGAAAATACTTACAATCTGATTACCGTATGATGAATAACAATACCCTTTATAGATCTTATAAATAATGGAAATTAGATATACATGTCAATTAATATACCAAACGTTATAAAATATTATTCTTCATATTATGGTTAATAAATTGAAATGAATACTATAACATGATAATTATTAGGAATGATTATATATGTATACGAATACTTATCGTTGCACCGTTTATTCCGTAAAATAACAGACTTAAGTCCATTACAGAACGGAATAAAACATTTTATCCCTAAATTTCAAGGAACTTCCTGGTCATTCAACCGTTTATTCTGTAAAATAACAGAATTAGGTCCATTATAGAAGGGAATAAAACATTTTATCCCTAAATTTCACGAAAATTTCCTGTATAATACTGAATATTCCACAGAAATACATAAAACACGTAATTTGAAGAAATAATTCACACTATTAACACAATTTCTCCAAAAATGCCATCGATTAACAGAAAAAGGGTGTTAAGCTACGGAATTCGGCCATATAAAAAATGGATATTTTTTACAGTGTACCCTACATCTAGAATCTGTCGAGGTTTGCCGAATGGTGCATATGAGCTTTAACGTATGACGTACTTCCGGCATCTATTTTTAGATCAGGAAGACCGGCCTTTTAATTTTATTTCACATTACGTACTATTTACATGCTTGGGAAAATAACGTTTGAGGTCTTTTTCTCTTTATAGAAAACGTATTGTTGAATGCCACTCTTATTGTAAGGTGCTTCTGGTGTTCATAATGTGTTTCTGACTTCAAATCATTTCTAAAATAATATTTGTATTGTTTTAATTACCACCGCGGCCATAAGCTTAGATGACTTTAGCTTTATTTGATATATGCCGATTTCGTTCTTATAAGTACAACATGTTTAACAAACATAAGTATAAGGAAGTAAGTGTCAATCATCCATTATTGATATCATTAGAGTGACATTACCATATAGATGTAGTTCATCAACCTGCTTCTACATTGAAATAAATTACGATTATTATCTTTTATCATTATCAGAGAGAGAGAAATGGGATTTAACGTCCACTCGACACAAACTAGGTCATTTCGGAACTAACACATGGTTCAATTTTATTTCAATAATTCGCATGCGCGTAGGGTTCTTTAGCAGTGGGAGGAAACCGGGGGACCCGGAGAAAACCCACGGGGTTGGACAGGCGACCCTACTCCTTGTCACGTTTAAAGGAGCTAAATCGCTAACATTTTGGACCCAGAAATTGACAAAAGTTGGTCGCAACGCATATAATACTGTAATATGAATGTATATAAACTGATTTACATTCAATGGTTTCCGTTTTTACTCCAATTTCAAATCAGTTATGTTCGGCGAAATAAGCCAGCAGTCTCAAGCGAGTGCAAATTTCTAGCGTCTGGTTATTCCAGTCTACATACGCCGTTTGATTTGGTGCAATGTGTCTAGCCTCGTCCCTCGAGTCTCTTGATACAACTGGGGCTGAAGCGCATTATGGTACACGATTCGTGTACCAATGGTAAAATGTTTATTTTGTCTTAATTATTGGATATCAAAAGCCCATCTTTTCCCGGTAAGATCACAACATGAATGTTGATTTAATTTGACAAATAAATCGTGTTTTCAATGTCGAAGATTTTGGATGATATTGAGTTAGAGACTTAGCTCCTTTAACAAAAATGAGACCGACTGATCCACAGGCCTCTATCGAGTGACGCAGCGGCGAGCTTTCTAGGTGGGTCCCATCCGAACGGCTACACGCTTAAGATTTCCAGTAGGGCCCATTATTCTGTATCACTGGCAAGAAATAGTGGGCTGGAATTTCCACCTGAAACTTTGTTGAGACCTCCGAGCGTCTAACTCACTGAACCACCGCTACTCCTCTATTATTGAAGCCTTCATTTGGAATAAAGGAAAGGCTATTTAAAATCTTTGAAAGTCTTCTCTCCCAGTCCCACTGCTCAGATGTTTAGTAGTAGGCTATAAATTCAAAGCAAAGAATTGCGTGACTTGTCAGCATTATTGATTGTGGTAGATGCCAAAGTGTGGCAGTAATGTGATGGGGCTTTGAAGCAATTTAGACATAGGGTTATATTAAGACACACAGAGGAACGGACCCTGGTTATAGCAGCGTACTTTTCTGAGCTGCTAAGAGACATAATGTTTTGTGAATTAAAATCATTGATTTTTCGTGGGGGTGGGGTGGGGTGGTACTTTTTACCGCCGACCACCGCCGTCTACCTCCGACCAATACTCTTACCGCCGACCAAATACTTTTTACCGCCGACCGCATTGTAATGACTTTCGATCGTAACATAATTACCGCCGACCAAATACTTGTTACCGCCGACCAAATGCTTAATGATTCCTTGTTACCGCCGACTATATAAAATTAATTAAATTATTAGTGACAAATAAATAGATTTGTTTAAATACACAGAGTTTGATAAAAAATATAGATTTTATTATATATAAATATGGTCGACAACCCTAACCCTCGCACTAATAAAAGATAGGCCTAAAATGTTATTTATTTATAACCAGTAGCTGAAACAATCTTGATATATTTGCCCTTCAATATCTAAATTGTAGTTTTGTCCTTCCATATTCTTTAAAATATATATGAATGTTTTTCGACAGTTGTACGTGATTACACCTCCAATAAAAAATAACATTCTTGTTGTATTCTTTTTTAAAAAAAAAAAAACAACCGTAAAATAGTCGGCGGTAACAAGGAATCATTCCTCCTACTGCTAAAGACCCCTACGCGCAAGCGAATTATTGAAATAAAATTAAACCATATGTTAGTCCCGAAATGACCTAGTTTGTGTCGAGCGGACGTTAAACCCCATCTCTCTCTCTCTCTCTCTCTCCTGGCTTAAAACCTGTGAATATTCTCCGACGTCATTTCGAACACTGATTACAAAAACCAGAAATGAAATTGGGTTTAACGTCCTACTTTTCTGCACAAACCGAGATAAAGAAGACAGGTAATACGCCATGCAGGGACAATTGTCAAGGCATCGGGGTTGCCGAATACTCTACATCGATTTTCATCTGTCAGGGGTTCTTTTACGTACACGTCAACGAGTACACGGACGGACTTCAGTTTTTCGTCCCTTCCGAACAACTAGATGCCTTTTCGTGCAAGCCCAAGGCCTTCCGACCTGGCCAACACTGAACCACTGCGGAACCACGTTGGGGGCACCCGGATCCCCCAAATGACATGCTATATAGTATACAACTTTGGTGGTTGGGTGATTTGACTGGTGAAATTGAATGTTATATTATCGGGGAAGAGTACCACTTCCAACCCCTCCCCAGTTTTCTCGCCAACCCCGCCTCCCAGAACATACATATTATCTGCAGGTCTCTTTTCCGTAAATGCAGCGAGCCTTTTGGATCGCCATTACAGGCCATATACAGGGGCAATTCTTGATGTTACCTATAGTATTTTTTACACAAGCAATTGTCCTTTTTTTTATAAATTCGGCAAATATACCCCCAACATGGCTAGAACTCTTTGATTTGCGTAAAAACTGAAAGTGTCGATTTAATTAAATTTGTATTGTCGATTTGTTTTAAGAAGTGGATATCTGTCAACATTTAAACTTTTAAGTCCACGGATTAGAGCCGATGTTGAATTATGAAGGGTTTTTTTGTTAGACAGTCGACAGAGTAAAGCGAATCTAGAATTAGTAGGTGAATCATTAAGCATTTGGTCGGCGGTAACAAGTATTTGGTCGGCGGTAATTATATTACGGTCGAAAGTCATTACAATGCGGTCGGCGGTAAAAAGTATTTGGTCGGCGGTAATTACACGACGGTCGGCGGTAAAAAGCATTTGGTCGGCGGTAGACGGCGGTAGTCGGCGGTGGTCGGCGGTAAAAAGTACCACCGGGTGGAGTGGGTAGGCCTACATGTCCGATGAGTCCTTTCCATAGGAGATAAATCTTGAAAGCAATTTATCACGATAATAATTGTTACCTTTATATTAGATAATAGCATATATTATGGCATATTAAAGATACATTATGTAAGATTTAGATAAAGAGCTGACCGTTCTTGCTATATAATAGTTCAAAAATAGATAATGCAAAATGAATATATTGAAAATTACATTCAAATTACTTTATATGTAAATTAAGTAATTGTGAAAATTCGATGATATATTTTAATGTAGATTCTTGTAATACGTTAGTTGATGCTTTTATTTCTAAACTAGCTAGATTATTACTATCACTTTTTACCAGCCAAAACGAAAATCGAAAGATGCGTGTTGTATAAAGTCTTGAGCAAAGCCAAAATATCCGCCTGAGTTCGTTAATTCAATCTAAATTAGTCTTAAAATGGTGTATTATGTTACACATGCATTCATTAATTTCTGTAAGTCAATATCTCCTCAGATTATATGATAATAATGTATTATTGTGAATGGTTGTTAAATACCAATAAGGCTGACCGTTTACCGTTAAATGATCTGTATTTGAGATATCACCAAACGTGAAATGGGACGATAGCTATACAGACTATATTATGCAGACGAATTAGGACGCTAGCCATATTGGCCATATCATCAATATGGGCCCAATCTCGGGTTTGTGGGATATTTCTCATCGGGTACCCCATGTATCCATGTATGAAATAAAATATACATTATGTTCCTCCCAAAATGACCTAATTGTTATCGAATTGGCGTTGAATTCGTCATATTTTTAGTGCCATAGTTTAACCGATTACTATATATGGTGACTGATAGTGGCCACTCTAAAAATCTCGCCCTTTGCATATCACGACATCACGACAGTATTAACGCGATCATACGACAAAATAGACTTGTGATTTTTAGTGTAACGTCGTGATATCGACATATCGCTAAAACCTCTTTCTACGTACCAGACACAAAAATATAATAATTTTACAAGCACAACAGCTGGGCTCATTACATCATGTTAAAAAGCAGAATAGATGAATAGATGGATATAAATAATGCTGGTACAAAAGAAATAATAGGAAAATGTCGATTAATTATATTTTTTTTGTATCAAAATAATGAAACATTTTGCGTTCAAATGTAAATTATTGCAATAGCGATAGTGTAGATCGGGATTTAAGAAGATTTCACATTTGTTGTATTTAAAGGAGCTAAATCGCTAATATTTGGGACCTAGAAATTGACAAAAATGGGTCGCAACGCATATAATAATGTAATATGAATGTATATAAACTGATTTACATTCAATTGTTTCTGTTTTTACTGTAATTTCTATAATCAGTTATGTTCGGCGAAATACGCCAGAAGTCTCATGTGAATGGCAATCTTTAGCGTCTGGTTTTTCCAGTGTACACCGATGGTATGTATTGCGCATGCTCTCCAGATAAGATTATAGCGTCACCATTTGAAGTGACTTGTGGAATATGTCTAGCCCTGTTCTTTGAGTCCCTTGTTCCAAATGGCGCTGAAACGCATTATGGTACACGATTCGTGTACCAATGGTAAAATGTTTATTTTGTCTTGAATATTAGATATCAGAAGCCCACCTTTTCCCTGTAAGATCACAAGACCAATGTTGATTTGAATTGACAAATAATTCGTGTTTTCAATGTCGAAGATATTTGATGATATTGAGTTAGAGATTTAGCTACTTTAAGGGTGGAAAGGCAATTGTAGAAAGCCTTTAAAATCGGGTCAAAAGCTTTCAAATCACCGCATTTGTGTTAGCACGCCACTCCAAACGACCCCCAGCTCTTGTTGACCTTATCGATATTCTTCCGTTTGGCCTAATCGGTAATGGGGTGACGGCCTAGATGATTACAAATTGGTACAATATTGCCTTAGTTCCATAGGCTCCAATGGAAAATGAAATGGTTCCTGAGTTACCCCCCCCCCCCCCCACACACACACACACACGCACCCACTTCGGGCCTTTATCTTCGGAATCAATAAAATGGTATCAATGATGTTTGATACGTCTGGAATAGGGCCTATAATATAAACTATAACGTACATTTACTCAAAATATTTCTTTCATTTGCTCAAAATATTTCTTTCAATGAATCATCATTTAAATTGATAACAAGTTAAAAAAAAGATTCAAATAAACCATGTAATGATAGTAGCGGGTCGGGCATGTATTTTCATCAGTAGGTCCCATCCTAATGAACCTGTCAAATTTGAACAAAATCCATTAAGATTAACAGACTGTGGAGTGTTTACAAACAAAATGCTAACAAAAAAGCGGGCGTATAATCGCCCCAGGTGTCCAGCATGCACCACTAGGTACCACCCTGTTATTATATTGATTGATCATGCCGAATTTGTACAAAATCTGTTAAACATACATTATTAAAGAGCTAAATCTGCCTATTGCAGGTCTTTCTTTTATCTAAATGATTAATTTGACATTAATTAACTTAACCAGACCATAACCAACTCTCGATGCCATTACATCGCTAGCCTGCGATATATACTGGATTAGGATCCGATTTGCTGTTCAACTTTTATTCATGATTAAATCATGAACTGGATAATCGAGACTATGTTTTTTCGTACCGACTTTAGTAATGATGATCGGGGCTAGGCCGAAAATTCAATCGCTTAATTCTCGGTTCAGAGTGGATCAATTTGGCTGAAATTTTCAGCAAATTCCCTTTACATTATCTAGTTTTTAACTATTATAGTGAGAACTGCCAGCTCTCATAGTGTATCTTTAATAATTGTAGAGAATTTACAGGTCAAGTACCTACAAAAAATTTGCCGGCGTGGTTTCCCTTTGTCAGTGATGCAGAACGGAGGGCCTGACAAGGACAGCTGCCTAGTCGTTCGGATGGGACGAAAAACCGAGGTCCCGTGTACACATTGGCGTGCACGTAAAAGATCCCTTGGCAGTTGAAATTCGATATAAGAGTAGGCCGTAGCGCCGCTGCCCGGGCAAAATTTCCCTCATTGCACACTGTATGGCGTATGCCTGTCTTCGATTAGCCCAGGTTAGGCGCAGAAGAGTAGGACGTTAAACCCCATTTCATTTCATTTCACCTGCACCGCCCCTGGGAGTCCAGCATGCCCCAATATAAATAGGTACATGGTCACTATTAGCCACCATACATGTAGTTTACTTTATCAGCCGCCATACTTGTATATCTTTACATAGTGGCTAATATAATAAATGACTGTATATTAATTTACCTGGCAACGGTATTGATCTTGCGATCAAGACCAAGGTCGATGTGTATTATTGTATTCAACGATCGAGTTTACTAAATAGATAATATAATACATAGTACAGGACATTCACAACATTCTTAAAGGTAATACGACAGATGTGTAACGCCAGTATGTTACTAAATCTACTGAAGGAATAGGAGGCTTACCAGTTACTTAGATTGTGGCGGGGGGATAGTTGTCAACGGATTATCATTACTCATTCAATAAGTTTTGGATCTATCATTGAATCGTGTACAAGTACGAGAAATTCAAGTTTATTAACGTGGCAAGGGTTATAGTTGAGAAATATGCTTTGAGTAAGATCGTACAATAGAGAAACGGACAGAAATAGAAGGTGACATTTTATTTATTTTATCATGTCTTCGATATAACTTGCAGCGAAATTGGGTATTTATTGTAAGCTAGTTATTTTGATTTTAATCCACGATGTTGACAAAGTACAGAGGTAACGGTAGTTCTGCACAAAATGTGCGATTTAATTCGGGTTTAAATCGGACCTACAGTGATAGCAAAAGTCATTTAAGATATTCCACCGATCAGCTAGGCAGAGATTTTTCACTTCAAAACTACTCCGGCGGTGTGTATAATTCTTCTAAAAAGCGGTACACCGACTTGGATGATCATTCTACTAGCCGAGGATATAGTACGTCATATCCCAAAGTACATCATGGTTCCAGTTATGATGATCTCAATCATTATCGGAACGGGTCTTATTTGACGGAAAATGGCGGAAAATATAACAGTTATATGGATTTGTCATACAGAAAAGTTCCAGATACATGGACCCATCGCGATCCCGTCGGAAAAGATGTCCTGGAGCCCAGACTTACCAAAGGTATATTGAAAAAGAACCAAGCATTTTTACGACGACATTTGGTCTTGTCCAGGAGTGTCCTGGACCAATTGGTTGATGCTGGTTTAATCGGTGATGTCATGAAGAGGAGAATTTTGGTAAGAAAACAAGTTTAAATCAGAATACTTAGAATATAATGCATCTTTATTTTCTAAAATTGAAAAGGATGTTTTAAATCCCTGATTGCACTTACGTGTTTGAAAATACGATTTTGCGAAAAATTGGGAAATTGATCAAAGAACCCGTCGCCTTCATCTGCTAGGGACAAGAGCTAAAGATTAAATTTACAATATTAACCCTTGCTATTACTTCTATTTAGTTTCTTTTTAACCAAGTCAATGTGTTAACTTTAATCCTCGTATATGTCTATTTTATTAGTATTCACTGCTACAGTTGAAATAAAACTATTGCATCATGAAGGCAAAAGTTTAACCAGGGAGTTTAGTCATGAATTTGGAACATTTTCGCCTACACCCTAGGTGGGGCTAAAAAAACAAATATGGGGCCAACCAAAAAACCGGTGCCGCTGGGCCCCAGACCTTCGCAGATAGACCACAGACTGGCGCCAATTTTATTACCCCTGATCTGCCGTGTATCATCTTGACTAATTTTATGGTCGAAAAAATCCGGATTGGATGCGCCATACGAGGTCTCGTATCTCGTACCGGGCCACCTCTTCCCTGGTACTGATAGAGACATCTCTCTTTAAAAATTACATTCTCTTTTATATAACCATGGCAACAGTGCAAGTTGTATGTCGCTGTATACACGTTACCATGGTAATTCATAATACTGTAAGATCCTTAATGATTTTTTTTTTATCAAAAGATCCACCGATCGATGTATTTACTGTAGTTGTTATAAACATCGCCCATAGTACTGGTTACTTTACGAAATAGCCAGACGTAGCGTTGCGATGCTTTGCATACAAAACAAAATAAATAAGTTTGAAAAGAACAACAATCGAAAAATAACACAGGATGTGACAATAGAAAACTGTTCAATTTGAAGTATCGAAAAGAGACGATAGTAAGGCCCGCGAAAGATAGCTCGGGCATTGATGTTGTGCAGTTTTGTGTGTTCCCCCATTCCTGAATCATTGACAAACTGCCAGCCTGTACGACCTCTTTCGACGTTGAACACGTTGTTTTGAAACCATTACCAATGGGAGAACCATTGCTGAAGCGACGATCCTATTAAACCGAGTATTGATATTCCACAACATCTTTCTGTTCTATAAAAACCAATTGTCTCGTTGTTAAGTCAGGGCTTTCACTCAGAATATATCAGACAACGGTTAAGGTGTAATAACTGCCGAGTGGGCCTATGTGTCTGATAGTGATAGTAAGAAAGATATAAACTGTGTTTGAGTAAGTAAGGATGGCTGATAGGGAATGTTAAGGGGAGAGGGAACGGTAATAAATATGCGATACTGAATTCTGATTTTATGTGCTGGGTCAGGAATGCTGTGAAGATTCGTTATCCTATTCAGTTGTCTTAATCATTTCGTTATCATACGAATTCTTTATGTTTTCAGCACATGGATGCCAATTCTCAGGTACCAGAAGTCATCAGATTGTTAGATGATCGTGGCCTGGGAACATTACGTAAATTTCTTAAAGTTTTACGAGACACGGGTTCTGGGTGGATTGCAGATGTTCTGTTAGACACAGATGCTATCGAGTACGAGGAACTACAGCGCGAGGAGGGATTTGATCCGAGGGAACATTACGAGAATCGATTGGTCAGATACAACCATGGCGCAATGAAGAGGTACGACAGCGCTGATGATTTGACAGAACGCCACCAACCTCGAAATTACGGTTCATATACTGCCAGAGCCCCAAGTCCAGACTCCATTAGGTACCCCAGAGTTCCACTATATGATCTTCTTAATAGCAAACGAAAAATCCAATCCGACATTAAAGGAAGAATTCGTCCGGGATTCTTTTTGTCTGGAGGTGCCGATCCGATGACATATCGTGGAAATCAAACGGACGAGGTTCCAAAAATTCTGACTGGTCTTGAGGGTCATTTTAAAAGCCAGACGGATGATAACGAAGTGGCATTGTCGTCTTTGAAACAGGAGGAAATGGCAATTCGAGAATTAATGGATCAGAACCGCCGCGAACAACAAAAGGTCAGGAAAAACCAATACACGTTGATGGATATCGGTCAAAAGTTGAAAGAAGTCAACATTAGAACAAACGAGATTCATGATCCGGCCAAGAATGCCGCCGTCTCAACATACAGACTGTCGCAGTTGAATCAAATACCTTGGGCTAGTGGTAGATATTAGGAACCCATTCATACGCATTTATGTTGAACCTCTTTATGCCGCATCAATTTACTGACATTTAAAAAATTTCGTGTTAATTATACTACCCTTCATAGCAAATAATGTACAATGTAGATAGTTTACATTTTCTCACCATATATTTACAATTTTATTATATCTTTGTTTCATATGGTTCTATTCTAGAATCCTGTAGGCCTAAATCTATAATGATCGAATCTGAAATAAGAATAGTCTTTATGAATAATTTGAACAACATTGAGAAGCGGTGAGTGGACCTACTAAATGAGGAAAATAGATCTGGTTCAGCGGCAACTGGGCAAGGATATTACTTTCTCGGGCTCGGTCACTTTTGATTGAGATCTAATTACTTTCTCTGTGTTATTTTGTGATGCCCGGATTGATCAGTAGTAGTTTTCCCGAAGCCCTCGAACACATATGGCCTGGTCAGTGTGGCCACTTTCGCTCTACTAACACGGATTTGTTTTGACATCGTCCATATATTCGGTTTTAATAAAGTGCCTTCGTCATTTAATTTCTTTTATAAGAATTTCACAAGTAACATTTCTATAGAAAATATTGCATGTCAATGACATTTGCTCATCTTTAGAAAGAAAACATAGTTACGTTATGTATCCAAGAGATAGGAAAATTTGGAATATAAAGCAAAATTTTATATATCGGGTGGCCCAAAAAACGAGTAGTCTGTTTAAGCGGAATAGAAAAGTATTGTACCTATATCAATAACGTTTGACATGTGGTGCAATATGGATGCTTGACTACTTAATTCCAAATGGTAAGTCCATCGCTCAAAGAGTGTTAACATAGTACAAGTTTTAAAAAACAATGTCAATTTATCTTTTGCCGGACTGAAAAGTCACATCACAGTCACCTCAGTTTACAAAAACAAGTGATCAGTGTGTCACCCGTTTTGCACCGAGTGCTGTTTTCACCCAGAAATTGAATTTCATCCGACCACCCTCCCAATGTGACCCTCCCACATTCTCCCTATCGCCTCCGGCGTCACAGATTGTCAACATTTTATATAATTTAATTTGCGGACCCCCGTGAAAAGATAATTTGGTATCCTTTTTTTTTAACACTATTTGACAGGTGAGCCGGCAATTTAGAGTGAAGTTGTCAACCATCCATATTGTACTACATGCGAAATGTGAATGATATAATGTACAGCACTTTTTGAATTACGCTGCAGTTTAAATAGTGTATTCGTTTCTTCTGGGCCACCCGATATTTCGATTTTAATATTTACTAAGTTTCTTAAAACAAACATATTTACAGATCCTTTCCACTTATTTATTCTTATATTTTGTCATTTAAATATTATTAAAATTATGACGATTTTTTTTTAATCTCCGTTGATTGTATTTATTGTGTTATTCTAATATAATCATACACTTGGTAATTGCCTACTCACCACAGACGGTTCAATAATTCAAAAATTAGGGGGAAGTAAAGAAACAAGACGAGAAAACATATTTGAAATCAAATCCTAGATCATTCCGCTTCCCAAGCCCCAAATTAAATTATGTTCCAGGTACACGATACTTTTATCTTTTGAAGTCTCAACATACAGTCAACTGTATTTGCTATGTTCATGCTAGGGAGAACCGCGGCCTTTCCAAATCTATGCTGTAAATTGCAAACTGTAATTGATTTTTCCGTTCACACTTATATAAGTACACAGGTGGATTTCGGTTTTTCGTACTACCCGAAAGTAAAGTCAGCACTTTCCACGTAAGTCTGACAGGTGCCACATATGCCAAGAGAGAACCAGGCTTGAAAATTCTCGACGCTTCCTCTTGACGCCCGTTGTGATTCTAATATTTTAGTCTCGAGCCCAGTCCATGACCGCTGCAGGACTGGCTTTGGGTTCTTAAGGCACGAGGGCTGACTGAAAAGTTCCAAGCCGATCTGTGAAAGACCTGTACAAAGTCAATGGTTTCCATTTATTTTTCTACATAGTCCCCTTCGAGGTGTGCACACTTTTTGCCGGCATTGCTGCAAGACCTGGATGCTGGTACTGAAGACATTTTCTTCAGCTACCCTAAACCAAAAAAAAAGTCGTTCACAGCTGAGATTATGACGTCATCATTATTGGGATAATAAAGTAAAACCAAGTACGAACAATCCAAACCATTAGACAAAATTCGAAGTCCTAAAAAAAAAAAGAAAAAAAAAAGAAGTCCTAAAAAAACGGTATAGGCAAAATAGTGTAATAAGGCAAAATAGTGTAATCAGCATATGGACTGTTCACCGTGTACAAAATACACGACAAACAGTGGTAACAGGTGTCCGGAAGAGTAAGCTTACCCTTCCTGGCGCCACACCCGCCATAACTGCATCCAAACTATTAGGCGAAATCTCGGTAAGATAGCGTGATTGGCCAATGAACTATCGGTATGCACAATGCGCGTGATGAACAGTGTTAACGATGTAGTAGACAGACATTATCAGGGAGATTGTATACGCGTCAATTAAATATATCTAGAATAATAGCCGAGAGAGACATGTTATATTTACCAATCAAGTCAATATGACGCCCATAAAACTTTTTAAAGGTTTTAATAAGTTTAGTTCGCAAGTATCCCTGTAGTTGAAGCTTAGATGACAAATGCCTCGATCTACTTAAAAAATCAGAATAAAATGAACAAGCTCTCGCGTAACGAATGAGTTGAGACACAAACACTCCATAAGCTGGTGATATTGGAATGTTACTACTAATAAATGGAAAGTTAACAATCGGAAAGTCAAAGTCATCACGTTTATCGTACAATTTCACACTAAGTTTATGGCAATTGTCAAAATCGAGACGCAGATCCAAGTAAAATGACGACCGACTAGTTTCTTTTTCATTTTTGGAAACAGGGCTCACCCATGGTTATGAATCTGGCCAAAGAATTATCAGGATCTGATCTGCAGTCAAGAGCTTTTGTACCCATATTGCAGAAATTTTTGTCAGTCAACTCGGCGATAGTGTGCTAAACGTTCTCGTGAGAGATGCCCACACCACTGGCAATATGATTGATTTATCATCGATCAGGCATCACCATGTCATGCACCCGGGTAATGTTTTCTTGATGGCCTTGCAGGACGCGGGTCATCGTCACGGCTCTTTCTGCCACGGAAGGGCCAATCCCGATAATTTTTTGGAGAATAAAACTGCTTAATGTTGTGTTAAAATCAGTTATCTTCTAACTAAGGACCGAGCAACTAACTCAATATTTGTGATAAGTTTTCAAACAACTTAAACCAGTCAGTCTTCATCTGGAAATGGAGAACGGTGTCCCAAGTTGTATTATCCTGTATCTGAATAAAACCAGACTGTTATTTTATAAAACAAATGCGTAGGTGAAATTTACCTTTCGTTATCAAGTACAGCACATGGGTCATTTAATGTACACCTCTAAAGGAATGGGACTCGATTATCAGGTAACCCAAACCCAAGGAAAAGATTGACCCGAAATTTTAAAAGGGTTACGTGTCCAGTTAAGCATTTTTGACGTTAACGTAGAAACGACTCAATATTTTGAGCTGAAAATTTGAGACAAGGTAAATACACCATTCCTCTATATTTTGGCGCTTAAATTTCATACGAACTCGGACTTTTAATTTGAGACTCTGTTCAAATCGAGATAGTCCCTTTAAACTCTGCAGCCCACTTCTTTTCCGTGGAAAAGGAATTGGCATTATCCCCTAAATTGACGACCATGCCGGCATGTATCTGTGTTGCGGTTAGTCCTTTCAGTTGCAGGTACTTGATGACTGCCCTATAATCAGTTTTGTCCATTTCTGGTGATTTCAACAGGTAGGTTCACAGGAAGACAATAGTAACAAAATGATTAATTCAGTGATTGTACTTGTTGGTGGCAAAAGTTTGTTTGAACCCAACTGATCTGTCCCTTTAGCCGTTCGAGTTATCAGAAAGTCGTGAAAATTAATAGGGTTGATCACATAAGCACTGGCATTAAATTCAAATCAATGCTAAAGGGTACATAAGATTCTTAACAGTGATCAAGGGTAATAACTTGAAGGTTTCATGAACATAAACATGATGTGTAAAAATAAAGCCACTTGAAAACCAGCATTTATAATCTTGCCCATCTACAGAGAGAGAGAGAGAGATGTCATTTCGGGATCAACACAAGGTTCAATTTTATTTCAATAATTCGCTTGCACGTAGGTTTTTTTTTAACAGTTGGAGGAAACCGGAGGACCCGGAAAAAACCCACGAGTTTGGACAGGCAACCCTACTCCTTGTCACGTAAAACCGGGGAATCGAAACCATGCCAGTTGACTCAATGACAGACCTTATGATACAGAGTGCACATTCGGCCATCCAACCCCCTTGCGCATCTACAAGATTGTTCAAAGTTATCAAGGATCATAGGCTTCTTCATCTCATGAACATTAATACTGTGTACAATTTAACGGCAGTCAGGTAATAACTTTAGGCTCTATAGCGTCCACAAGATATTTCAAAGAGATGATGGTCAAAACTCTGGATTGGAAATTGCTGAAAATTATTAGGATTTTCATCTCATTGCCTGAAACAATGTGTATGAGTGCCCACAAGATTTTTTGAAGTGATCAAGGGCCATAACTCTGGCTTTAATTATCAGAAATGCATGAAAATAGGCTTGTCTCATGACCTTGAACACTGTAAGAATTTATAGTGAATCAGATATTAACTTTTCTCTCTAAAGCATCCAGAAGAGTTTCAAAACTGATCAAGGGCTTCTTGATCTTGAACACTTTGTAGAATCAGATATTTTTGAAAGTGCTCAAGGGATGTAACTATCAGAAATCATACTTCTTCACTCATTACCTTAAACACTGTATATCAGATGTCAACTTTAGCCTCTAGTTTGTCATCAAGGAATTATGGAAATGAAATGAAATGAAATGGGGTTTAACGTCCTACTGTTCTGCTCCTAACCTGGGCTAATGAAGACGGGCATACGCCATACAGTGTGCTATGAGGGATATTTTGCCCGGGCAGCGGCGCTACAGCCTACTCTTATATCGAATTCCAACTGCCAAGGGATCTTTTATGTGCACGCCAATGTGTACACGGGACCTCGGTTTTTCATCTCATCCGAATGACTAGACAGCTGTCCTTGTCAGGCCCTCCATCCTGCACCACTGACAAGGGGAAACCACGCCGAAAAATTTGAATGAACTCTTCGGCCAATGCAGGGATCGAACACCCGACCTCCAGGCTAGCGAGCCAGCGTCTTACCCACTTAGCCATTTGATCCCCCCCTTAAAAATTGTGTATAAATCTAAAGCCAATCAGATATTAACTTTGGCCTTTAGAGCATCCACAAACAATGAATTGTGTAAACAGGATGGATGGACAGACAAGGGCGACAACAACATGCGACCAAATCATTTCTACCAAATCATTTCAACGTGGGCATATAAAAACGTGATTTGCAAACAATCCTGGGCCATAATTCATAAAGTTACGGTCCGAAAAGTACCAATATCGTAATGAGCCGAGATCTTTGGGATATAAGTTTTGTCAAAATCAGATAAGAAATATGACCCGTAGAGTGTCCCCAAACAAATGCCAATGGATACATGGATGGACAGGGAGAACGACATAATACCTCCACATGAAAATGTGGGCATATAAAAACCAAATATTCAATATCTATATTTTAATTACCATTAAAATGTGCATCATATATTTGTACCACAGACAAATATATAATAGCATAGACTGTACAGTAAAACATTAATAGTAATCAATGTGCATAAATATCTCAATCAAGATTATATCTTCTTTGACCTTATTGTGAACGACTGAGTATTGTATATGATCCAATCTTAACATATGATACCAATCTATCTATTTTTTCAAGCTATTTTTAAGAAACTTGCAAACTGCAACAATGTCTACATTGAATTTCCATTCGGTATTTACAAAGATATGATTAATTGAAAACAGTACAATATTAGGTATTGTCTGAAAAATATCCATGACTATCAGTGGGTTAAAGGAATATTCAAATAATTTATCTTTCATTTAATGGTCATACCTTGTCCTAACATAAAACACAGAATTTTATTATTTTGAAATGGGCCATCGTTGACGACTGCTATTTGAGTGGGGATAAAGTTGTAACACATTAATATGTTACTTGCATTAAATTCTATTTTAAATTTGTTAACAATTTTAGTTAAACCGCAACTGTATTCTTTGTACATCTAGACAAATAATTAATAAAATCTTAATATCCTCATAAGGTAAAGTACTCTTTCCTAAAGCATGTCAAATTATCTATTTGGAAACAAGGATGTGCTAAAATTTAATATTTTGATTATCTGACAGTATAAATAATACAATAAAATATAAAGTATGTAAAATAATCCAACAAGAAACCCCATTTTCTATTTTCCCTTCTTTTTTCCCTTTTTCCCTTTCTTCCCCTTTTTCCCTTTCTTTTTCTTGCCATATGGACCAAATCCTTTTCTCACCATCATTCCTCTCCACCATGCTTGAACCTGAAATTAAAAGAGATTTGTATCCAGGGCAAGATTAAGGCATGTTTTTAAAAAGCAACACATGGGAGATAACTGTTTTCAAAACACAGGATCTCCAAATGTTTCCAAGCCACCTTGGCTCCCACTATTGACTGACCGACGAGCAAACGAATACCATAATACGCAGACATTGACAATATTACCATATCAAAATGTGTTAAAAACTGTTGAGTCTATCACGTTAACCAGCAAATTGATGATGAACAGACAGGGACGACAGCTATGCCTAAAACATGAGTAGGCTTTTTAAAAATTGCGGAGAAGACCAAATAAGATAAAGATATAATTTGACTGAATCAGCAATACAGTAGTTTCATAAGTACAGTCTTATCAAATTGTAGAAAAAAGGCACAAAGATCATTTTAGACAGTGACCAAAAATCACAGAAAATCATTCCATTTTTTCTTACCTTCACTGCACCTTTAAGTTCTATTGCCTCCATTTCATCTTTTCTACGTATTTTTTCTTTTTCTATTCGATCTTCAACTACAACTTGTTCATATTCTTTATACTGTAAACACAAATCATCACGTTCATACTAAAAAAAGTGTGTCTTGAATAAAAGAGAGAGAAAGATCAGTTTTCCCTTCCACATGAAGGGAATTGTAGGCTAAACTTTGAATTGCATTGCTGAATATAGGCACTCATCTCAACAAATCACCAAAATTGGAAACAAGTTCTCTGTGCTTGACTATATCATGATACTCACACCAGATCAATTCATGGCCAGGTCCCAATGATGTGTCACTCAATTGACATTTTGTCAATTCAAAATGTTCAGGATTCCTACCCTGTATTATTATTAGGCCCACAGATTCTCAAGCTTTCATCTGAGCTTTATTTTAGAGAAACTCACCAGTTTTGTCAGTTCTTGCAATCTTTCTAAATCTTTAGCTTTGGATGCCTTTAAAACATCTAATTCATGTTGCTTAGCTTCCACGTCTTTTTCATATTTCTCCTGCCAAAAATCTAACTTCTTCTCCAGATTCTACAATAAATGGACAAATAACCTCAGTTTTAATTAAATTGGCCGAATGGTTAACACGTGCACGTTGGATCACAAGGTCTGTCATTGAGTCGAGTGGCTAGTTATCTACTTATTTAACAAAAAGAACAAACTGGATATTGTGAATAAAAATAATAAAACTTACAGAATGATGATTTCGGAGGAAAGCTTCTATCTCCGAGTTTGCTCGTGTTTCTTTATCAATCTGATTCTGTAGATTCTGTAAAAAAAACAATAAAACTTACTAAATTATATGTGGTCAGATAAATTAAAAAACATTAATTTCAATTCTCATCAACAGAAATAAACTACTATATTATATATTTTTCACAGAATTAGTCAGAAATGAATAGGTGACATTCCTGTCAAATTAATTTTAAAATCACAACTGCATTCAAATCAAAATTCAAAAGCAGATAAAACAAGCCAACAGTGAAGCTGGTTCCCCCCCCCCCCCCCCGACGAAATCCCAAAATAAATAGATGATACATTTTAATTAATTGAAAATTATCTTTTTCAAAAGTATCGAGCAATCAAACTGATTATCTATACTTAGTCTAAGCATAAAATGTTCACTATCAAACTCGGTCAAGGTACTGTAGTATTTGGTAGTGAAACTATACATGAACTTTCATCACTCTCCATCAGTTAGAATGAAAGTTTTCTTGTCCCAAAACATTGAACAATGAAATTCCTTAGCTCTGCTTATTTTATTGGGAAATCTTAATCACTGAACTCAGTCAAGACATTCACCTAATGGACATCTACATCAAGTTTAAACATTCTACCTCAATTAAAAGCAGAGTTGTTATGTTCCAAAGTCTTGACCAATCACATTGTTTATTGCTACTTAGCCTAAGCAGAAAATTCTGGTCATCGAACTAAGTCAAGGTATTGATATAATGAATCTATAGTCTGAATTTCATCGCTCTCACCCAATTAGAACCAAAGTTATTGTGTTCCAAAGTCTCAACCAATCAAATTGCTGATCTCAGCATGACCTTAGTGGGAAATGCACATGATCAAACTACAGTAGAATCTGTATGAGCAGCCACTCCTATTCAGCGACATCTCCTTGTAAGCGGTTACGATAAATTCACCCAATAAAAATTATGTTGTTTCATCTCTTTATTCAACGGCCACTCCTCTAATGCAGCCAGCGGTCACTTTTCAACGGCCATTGTTGAATAATACCATCTTGTCGTTCTTTGTAACACCCCTGCTAATCCCGCGAGTAGTTAATTAACTGGACCCCCACTGATCAGGTAAAAAGAAATGTAAAAATAACGATCAACCCGGGATTATCTGTTAATTAATCTTTTGGTTTATTAAACGGCTAACCTGATCATTGTTTTCACTCGTAACAACACATTATTTGATACTGATTGAATAAAATAAAAGTACCAAGTTTTGTCATGATCATCTAGTATCTCTTTTCCATTGCCACTTTGTTGTTAAACAGACGTTTTAGCGCCTCCTATAATATTACATACAGAGTTACACCCCCTGTAAATAGGTGATAAAATCAGTGATTGTTTTTTGTTCATGTGCTTTTTTGATAAAATAAAATTAATTCATCGATTTTCTTCACAAAAATGGATAAATATTATCGAATGCTTCACAATGGTAGACAGTAGTATCGAAGGTTGGTACAAAATGACAAGTTACAGAAGTTATGTCCGAGATTTGAGTAAAGAATTTTCGTTCGGCGCAAGATTCAGCGATGGTCAAATTTACCGATGCAAGTATTGATGTTTACTTCCAATGCATCCAAGCGTAATATTTAATTTATGTCAGCACAAAAAGCACCGAGATTTTATCAAGAGGCCACTCTCGTTAAGTGGTCAGTTGTGAAAATTCCCTTGGGTGGCTGCTTAATGCAGATTCTACTGTATATCAGGGCATTCACCTAATAGACACCTATACCAAGTTTAAACATTCTACATCAATTAGAAGGAGAGTTATTGTGTTACAAAGTCTCAACCAATCAGATTGAAGTTTCTACATTGCCTAAACAGAAAATGCTCAGCTATACACAAAGTTTCATCACTATCACTCAATTAGAATCAAAGTTGTCGAGCAATCAAATTGCTTATCGCTCTGCTTACCCTAAGCAGAAAATCCTCATTATCGAACTTAGTCAAGGTGATGAAACTATACACTAAGTTTCATTGCTCTTACTTAAATAGAACCAAAGTTTTTTTGTCCCAAAGCATCAACCAATCAAATTGCTTATCTCTATTTACCCTAACCTAAGCAGAAAATGCTCATCTTCAAACTCCATCAAGGCATTCACATAATGAAAGCCTAGCCTACACCAAGTTTGAACATTCTACCTCAATTAGAAGGAGAATTATTGTGTTCCAAAACTTTGATCAATCAAAATGCTCATTGCTCTGCTTAACCCTGAGTGGAAAATGCTCATTATCAAACTTAGTCAAGGTATCGATTTGATGAAACAATACACCAAGTTTCATCACTCTCACTTAATAAGAACCAAGTTATCGTGTCCCAAAGTATAAACCAATCAAACTGCTTATCTCTGCTTAACCTAAGTAGAAAATGCTCATCTTAAACACCATTAAGGCATTCAAGTTTGAACATTCTACCTCAATTAGAAGGAGAGTTATTGTGTTCCAAAATCTCAACCAATCAAATTGCTCATCGCTCTGCTTACCCTGAGCGGAAAATGCTCATTATCGAACTTAGTCATGGTATTGATGTAATGACACTATACACCAAGTTTCGTTACTCTTACTTAAAGTTATCGTGTCCCAAAGCATCAACCAATCAAATTGCTTATCTTATCTATGCTTACTCTAAGCAGAAAATGCTCTTCATCGAACTCTATCAAGATATTGACCTAATAAACACCTACACCAAGTTTGAACATTCTATATCAATTAGGAGATTGTATCCCAAAAAGTGATGGATAGCCAGACAGACAAACACATTTAATTTTAGTAGTCCCCTGCTTCCTTCAAAAGGCGGAGGACAAAAAAATCTGGTAATTTTTGTAGTCCCCTGCTTCCTTCAAAAGTCGGAGGACAAAAAAATCTGGTAATGCATTTCCATAATACTTTTCTAAAAAAATTTACAATTCTAAATTCTAAGCTTAGTTTCTATAATAACCTCAGTCTCATCTTTCATTTCTTGTTCAGAGAGAAAACATCGTTTCTGGGTCTGTGTGACGGCAACCTCCGCACATTTTTTGATATATTTTCCCTCCATATTTGTTTTAGCTTTCATCTCTTGAAGTTGATCTTTAAGATGAGCTATCATCTCTTCACGATTCTGTACTTCTGTCTCTTTCTCTTTTTTAACATCCAGTAACTGTTTCTGTAATTGACGAACCCTTTTTCTACCATCTTCTTCTCTGAATATAAAATTTTCAACATATGGTAAAGCAGATCTTTGACTAGTTTATTTCATAGAAGGAAACAGTTCTAGGGATCACTTTAATTAACAATTGACTTGTGAATGTGATAGAGGCTACAGTTTTAAACAGATTTTTACATACCCACATTTCAGTGTTGGCGTATTATACTGTCAGTCTGTCACCCATATTTTTCAAATTTTGGTCAGGACAAACCCTATCAGTCATACGGTTGATTTTCATCATTCTAGGACTTTCTATTCCAGAGATATAAAATTATTATGTTTTTGAAAAAGCTTGTGAACACGACAGAGTTAAGATTTCTTGCAGGGGGATCTTTATCAAATTTGATCAATATTTGGTGTGAAGCACTGGGGTCATGAGATTGATATTCAGCTTTACACAACCTTCCGTTCTGGACTTGACCACTTTTCCGAAAACTTTTTTGGATGGGATTTGTAAATTCTGTACATAGGAACTTACAATGTGTATATTTGTCAATTCTGTAGAAAATTGCAATGTGTATATTTTTCATTATTTAACCGCCTTTAAATACATGTACTATACTTCCCCAAACAGTTCAGTCTACATTAGCTTGGTTGCTAGTTGCTACACAAAAGTGGAACATTTTGCTCCATTAAATCCATAATTTTTGTCTGATTTAGATGAATAAAATATGTTAAAGATGCATTATTCAAGAGCTAAATCTGCCTATTGCAGGTTTTTATTTCGACTTCAAATGCTATATAAATTATTTTAGACATTTATTCACATGACAAGCCTATAATAAACTATTTAGACCATCGCATGGCAGAGATTTAAACTGACTGAAGTGTGAATGCCATTTAATGATTTAATTTAAAACTGGAGAAGCGAGGCTGAGTCTTGATTAACAAGTAAAATTGCTACGGTAATAAACAATATTTGCCACATCTTGTCAAAATTTCAAACAGTGATAAATTGTTTGAATGAAATTTTCAATATATTAATTATATTGAATGGTCACCTCTTATCTAAATCTTACATAATGCATCTCTAAGGATCAAAAGAATGTAGATGTGTTTGATGTGCATTGGACCTTCCCTTCTGGAGTGATGCCCCCCTTTTCCAGAAAACTTGTGAACGAAAAAAAAAAAAAGGCTATATTTTCAGAAAAGCTTATGAACACAATAGAGATCAGAATTCTTGAAGGCATATAAAGGTTCCTATCAAATTTGGTCAACATCCTTGTTTTCCTTTCGGATAAGCTGCTATTCCTTTCTATTTTTTCTTAAACATTGCTATTTTATGGGTGTAGCTATCTTTATCAACGCATAGGCCTACTCTGTGCCTTTGAATATATTCTCAAAATCATACTTACTTTTGTATTGTGTTTTGTAAAGAAGCTTTTCTCTTTTTCTCTAGTTTAACAGCTTCCAGTAAAGCCAGGAATGTTCTGTTGTGAATCAGTTCACCCATAGTCTCAGACATCACAGCCTCTAGAAATATTCTACAAAATACAATATGTGGGTTGCATTAAATATATTCATTATAATTATTACAGTATGGAAATGTAACATAATTTTAATGTTTATTTTTTTCTTACTGAGTTATAAAGAAATTCTTATATATGACAAGTTTATTTTTGTAAAATTGCCAAATTTGAAGTTGTTTAAAAGGAAAGGTCTAAACTTTGCCTGGTATCTTAGGCCAAGCAACATATTTGTATGGGTACAACAAAACCAAGATTTCTAAAAATGTTGTCAAGGAGTTTAAAGATATTTCCTCAACAGTCAACGATCTCTATAATCTGCAGCCTTCCGTTCCAGAGTTATCCCCCTTTTCCAAAAGACTTGTGAACGCAATAAAGTTTATAAGTTTCAAGATTCACTGACACTACCCTATATTGCAGTGCAACTTCATCTTAACAAATTTAAATTAGCACCATTGAAGAAACAACTACCAAATTAATTTGAAATCCATCAACCTGTGTTGGTAGAAGGAGTTGGTGTTGTGAAACAGGTTAACACTAATTTAAATCCTAATTGATTGACACATCCCTGGATATTACCTATCATGTTGTATTTTAGCTGTGTTATCAGATGTTAGAGGATTCTGACGAAGACTTCGACGAAAAACATGAGTACTGTTTTTCAAATCCCCCCCTGTTTTTAAGACCTCTTTCTCCATGAGGTTTAATTTATCAGTATTGTGTGTCATCTGTCTAACATCCATCTTTCTTGCTAACACTGACTGATATCTACTCTCTAACTGTCTCTGTGAATCTAGTAACTCACTGACATCATTATCTACTATCTGAAATACAATTAGTTAAATATGTCTATAATAATATATGGTTCTATTTAGAATTAATTAATTAAAGAAGTCTGAGAGTGCATGACTATTTTAATTTGTATAGGAATTCAAAATGGCAAGACCCAGTTTCCTTTTACTGTTTATTTATTACTGAGTGATGTTTGACTAGACGTCTCTAGTCTTTATGATATACCATGTAAAATAAAATAACAAATGTCTAAGTATTATGAAGGTGATCAAGGTTCATTTTGGTAATATCAGGTTGTGAGTGCAACTAGTCAAATGGGTTCTAGCCTAGTGCTTACTCCAGCAAGAACATATTCATACAAACTTAATTAGCAAAGTTAAATACATTATCCTTTGTTGACTAGCATTCTCACCAAACTACTTAAAAGAATTCATATTTCATTCCAAACATGAAATGAAATTGAAATTGTCTTACCTCATATGCATCTTGTCTCATATCAAATGAATGTGGCATGATTCGACCGAGTATAGATAACTGATCACAACAATCTTCTAGAACTGTTGCCACATGGATGGCATCCACCCCACATAACATAGGTGACGTCATCTACAATATAAAATATAAAACCTAAGTTGTTAAGAGTCCAGTGGATCTTTGAGGGCTATGCTCCAGCTCAAAATCACGAGTTTTTGGTACCAGTCCCCCAATGAGACAGGGGAACATAGATTTCAATCAAACAGCAGTGGATTCTGCCCAGTTCTATTATCCATTAGATATGTGTGGGTGTGTGGGTGTGGGTGTGTGGGTGTGGGTGGGGGGAGGGGGGGGCTATAGCAACTTTCATGGGATATATTCATAGAACTGTAAACCACACTCAGAATTATGTTGACAGTGTTACCCAAACCACAACAAACCATGCAGAGGCCATGTGACATGGCAGAGAGAGCCAAGAGCAAAATTGCAGAATACTAAATTACATGGAATTTATGTGGCATCAGCAATCTGGTATTACCAATCTGCATTCTGGTATTAGGTCACCACCGATGTATACCATGTGAAAACTATTCACATAAAAAAGAGCTTTAAATAAAGTTATATTTTGACAACTGGTTAGGATCGATCACACTTAAATTTGTTAAATTTTCGTAAAGATAGATAAGCTTACATTTGATTTAGATGTGTTTTATTTAGATTAGACATGTTTCCTTTAGAATAGTTTGAAATATTTCCTTTAAAAGTTGTTAGATGTGTTTCCTTTAGAATAGTTAGGTGCGTTTCATTTAGAATGGTTAGATGTATTTCCTTTAGAATGGTTAGATGTGTTTCATTTAGAACAGATGTGTTTCATTTAGAACAGATGTGTTTCATTTCGAATAGATGTGTTTCATTTAGAATAGTTAGATGTGTATTATTTAGAATAGTTAGATGTGTTTAATTTAGAACAGTTAGGTGTGAAGAGGGAACGTGGTTGTTATTTATGATATTTGCATAAAATTGTTTAGTCATTCCACTATAAATTACATTTATCAACACATGTGTATTAATAGCGTTAGACAACAGTTACTTAATATTCTAAGTAGGGGTGGGGAATTTAGTTTATAATAATAATAATATTGTCATTTATAAAGCGCGTTACTGATTATTTACAGATCAGGGTTTTGAAATAAGAACGTTTTGAGTTGAGATTCAAAATGGCCCACAGACGGTAATTGTTTCATTGATTGTGGTAGTCTATTCCATAGAAAAGGACCAGCATAAGAAAAGGCATGTTTTCCAAGTTGTGAGTTAATGGCTGGAGATTTTAGAAGATGTTTTTTCTGAGAACGGAGATTTTTGCTGGTAGTATAGGGTTCTACAAGGCTTTTTATATAAGATGAAGATGGAGCTTGGCCGTTTAACGCTTTGAAGACAAAGAGGAGTAACTTGAACTTAATTCTTTGCTGAATTGGGAGTCAATGTAAAGATTGCAATACAGGGGAGATGTGTTGATGTTTTCTAGTTTTAGTGAGGAGTCGAGCTGCTGAATTTTGAACATGTTGTAGTTTGTTAATCTGATAGTCTGGTAAGCCATATAGTAAACCATTGTGGTAATCTAGTTTAGTTGAGATGAATGCGTGAATGAGTTTTCATAATGACACAATTGACGATGCACTAAAGAAGGCGTAAGCTTATAACAAGCCTATATAATATTGTACGAAAGTACTAGGAGTTCTGGATAAAAGGTTGATAGATGTATGGGAAGTTAATTGTGTATCTAATTTTTAATATAGAAGTTAAGGTCTGGACACTGGACTGTCAAGTAAGTAGGCCTAACTAGCTTAACCGTAATGGAAATAACGGTCTGTTAGATTGGATGCCAGTTAAGTTGTCCACAAGCAAAGTCGTCCACAACCGATGGTTAAGTCATCCATAGGGCATTGGTTATGTCGTCCACAACTAATGGTTAAGTCGTCCACAACTAATACTTGATTCGTACACAACTAATGGTTAAGTCGTCCACAATTAATAGTAATACTTGACTCGTGTCGTACACAATTTAAATGCATGGAATAAATAAGTTTTACTTATTGATTTTTGTTGATTACCGATCACGACCGAGATAAGTTCACCGCTGTATATTCGTATTGTTTGTTAATTGGAGTTATGATTTTAGATTTTAGGTCAGTTCCCTGATCTTTTTGTAGTAAAGTCACTAAAGTATATTCGTATTTTTATTTAATTGCTGTTATCATTTTAGATTAGACTATAGTTCACCAATGTTTTTGTAATAAAGTATACTTGTATTGTTTGTTAACTGCCGTTATGATTTTAATGTTTAGACAACATTTAATTGACTTGATATGAAATCTGAATATAAATTATTTAATGGATAAATGTTTGTGATAAGATTAGTTTATGATGTCTAACATCGTTTATCTTCTTTATAAAAAGGTATTTTACAATTACATATTGACAGCTTAATCACTTGCCAAAATACATCATGGACTCTACGCCCAATAATCAACTAAACTGCGCCGGTTATCCTTTTAGATAAGACAAATTAGATCGATATTATTTTGGCACCATAATTAATTTTAAAACTAATCCTTGATTTAATTTCCGTCCACTAAATCATGTAAATGGAACTAAACAACTCCAAATTTCGTATAAGAATCAATTTAGAATACCAAAATGCGAATCGTAACACATTGTGGCTAAACTGTGTACGGTAATCTATACTAATATTTGTGACTGTCGTTTGTCTGTCTGTCTGTCTGTCTGTTCGGGGTTGGCGGCTACACTAGGTCTGTCCCGAGTCTGAAATTTGGGGTATAGGGGTAGCTCGGACTGGGGAGTAACATAGGCCAGGTGGCGTTAGTCTACCACTTCCGGTTTCGGAGTTATGACCCCCGAGCGAAGTCTGTCTCTTCGGGGTTGGCGGATACACTAGGTCTGCCCCGAGTCTGAAATTTGGGGTATAGGGGTAGGTCGGACCGGGGATTAACATAGGCCAGGTGGCGTTAGTCTACCACTTCCGGTTTCGGAGTTATGACCCCCGAGCGAAGCCGGGTATCCTGCTAGTAAATTATAAAATAAATCATAAATCAATGGAACCTGTTGTAAGGTGGACAATGCATGCTTCCTTTTTACGTTGGGTTGAGGCACCAGGTAGTCTTAACAAATGAAGATAACATGTATCGAAAAAGTGGCTAAGTCCAATTTTATTCTTTGATCTGTTATATCACAGGGCAATTCTGTTATAGTGAAACCAATCTGCATGATAAAATATTTATACCAGCGGCTGCCAGGCAGGATACGCCCACATTTTCGAGAGATGGATAGAGAACAAGCTAAAAAGAAAGTGATTTTTCCTACAATCAAGGGCCATAATTCAGGAAATTACAATTCGATATGCGCAAATATCGAAAGGAACTGAGATCTTTAGGTTATAAACTTACATTTCAAGTTTCAACAAAATCGGATAAAAATTGTGACCTCTATAGGGTCCACAACCTTGATATACCATATTTTTACGCTATTTGAGAACGAACGGCAGCCATTTTGTCTGTCAATTTTGGGCCGATTTTCCCGAAATTTGAACTCAGTCGTCCTTAGGGTGTAACGGTGATATAATAATAAGTTTTTTTAAATCGGATAAAAATTATGACTTCTATAGGGTCCACAAGCTAAAAACTCGATTTTTCATACAATCAGGGGCCATAATTCAGGAAGTTACGGTCCGATATGCGTGAATATCGAAAGGATCCGAGATCTTTGGGTTATAAACATACATTTCAAGTTTCACCAAAATCGGATAAAAATTGTGACCTCTATAGGGTCGACAACTTTGATATACCATATTCTTACGCTATTTGAGAACGAACGGCGGCCATTTTGTCTGCCAATTTTGGGCCGATTTTCACGAAATTCGAACTCAGTTGTCCTTAGGCTGTAACGGTGATATAATAATACGTTTTTTTTAAATCGGATAAAAATTATGACCTCTTTAGGGTCCACAAGCTAAAAACTCGATTTTTCATACAATCAGGGGCCATAATTCAGAAAGTTACGGTCTGATATGCGTAAGGAACCGAGATCTTTAGGTTATAAACTTACATTTCAAGTTTCAACAAAATCGGATAAAAATTGTGACCTCTATTGGGTCCACAACCTTGATATACCATATTTTTTACGCTATTTGAGAACGAAGGGCGGCAATTTTGTCTGTCAATTTTGGGCCGATTTTCACGAAATTCGAATTCAGTCATCCTTAGGGTGTAACGGTGATATAATAGAACGTTTTTTTTAAATCGGATAAAAATTATGACTTCTATAGGGTCCACAAGCTAAAAATGTGATTTTTCGTACAATCAGGGGCCATAATTCAGGAAGTTACGGTCCGATATTCGCAAATATCGAAAGGAACTGAGATCTTTGGGTTATAAACTTACATTTCAAGTTTCAATAAAATCGGATAAAAATTGTGACCTCTATAGGGGTCCACAAGCCAAAAACATGATTTTTCGTACAAACAGGGGCCATAATCCATGAAGTTCCGATCCGATACATGCCAATATCGAAAGCAGCCGAGATCTTTTGGGGATAAACCTATATTTCAAGTTTCGCCGAAATCGGATAAGAATTGTGACCTGTAGAGAGTCCACAAACAATTGTGGACGGACGGACGTCCGGACAGACAGGGGCGACGGCATAATACGTCCACATGAAAATGTGGGCGTATAAAAATAGTTTTTTAAATCGGATAAAAATTATGACCTCTATAGGGTCCACAAGCTAAAAACGCGATTTTTCGTACAATCAGGAGCCATAATTCAGGAAGTTATGGTCCGATATGCGTAAATATCGAAAGGAACTGAGATCTTTGGGTTATAAACTTACATTTCAAGTTTCAAAAAAATCGGATAAAAATTGTGACCTCTATAGGGTCCACAAGCTAAAAACGTGATTTTTCGTACAATCAGGGGCCATAATCCATGAAGTTTCGATCCGATACATGCCAATATCGAAAGCAGCCGAGATCTTTTGGGGATAAACCTATATTTCTAGTTTCGTCAAAATCGGATAAGAATTGTGACCTGTAGAGAGTCCACAAACAATTGTGGACGGACGGACGTCCGGACGGACAGGGGCGACGGCATAATACGTCCACATGAAAATGTGGGTATATAAAAATGGGAATTGTATGAACTGGAATTATACAGGTGAATCGTTTAGTGAATGTGTAGCTACGTTATTTATTAATGAAATTGTTACTGAATAGGCTATTTATTGAATAAAGTGATTTATTTTGTTGTTTGTTTATTGTTATTTATAAATCAAAATGCGATCACTCTAGATTGGCGATAGTCTACCAGTTGACAAAAAGAAAATTATACTGACATATCAAACACTCATATTAGACTATGAATACTTTCTGCATCACTAACATTACACAATGTCGTGTGGACGACTTCACCAATGTATTTCTACATCCCAAAATTAATTTTAAACTAAATCATGTACTGGACGAGTCAACCAATGCCGTGTGGACAACTCCACCAACGAGTGTGGACAACTTAACCAGGTTTACGGGCTACCAGACCGTTGGAATTTTGCAATTAAAAAACAACATACATTTAAAAACTCTTTGGGATTTAGTGGAGGACATACACACAGAAAAACAACAAAATTGGCTATCATCAGTATCTCCGCTCCGGAACTTTAACTTAAAGTTTAAAGGAGCTAAATTGCTAATATTTTGGACCTAGAAATTGGCACAAATGAGTCGCCACATATAATAATGTAATATGAATTTATATAAACTGTTTTACATTCAATCGTACTGTGAATTGTCATCAGTTATGTTCGTCAAAATATGCCAGAAGTCTCAACTGCAAGTCAGTTTCTATAGTGTCTGGTTATTCCAGTCAACACCGATATTATTTATTGCGCATGCTCTCCAAAAAAGAATATGATATCACCGTTTGACATGACTTGTGGAATATGTCTAGTCTCATTCTTTGAGCACTACCAATGGTAAAATGTTTATTTTGTCTTAAATATTGGATATCAGAAGCCCATCTTTTCCAGGTAAGATCACAACACCAATGCTGATTTATATTGCAAAAAAAATCGTGTTTTCAATGTCGAAGATTTTGGATGATATTGAGTTACGGACTTAGCAAGTTAGCTACCGGTACTTTAATTTGTTAATATAGAGCGAAGCTCTAAAGCACCGGGCTTCGCAAAGCTCTTTTCCGGTAACACAGGAGCGTAATTGAAAATGTCATCCACAGACTGTTGATTAAAAAAAAATTCAGACCGGAACCGGATACACTGGGCAAAACAGGCAATGCGCATGTCAACTTACCAAATCTCGCCCAAGCGAGATCACGTAACTAACAAAAGTAATTCTACCTACCAAATCTCGCCCAAGCGAGATTACGCGCCTCATAGAACTATTTCTATGACGCGTCTAATCAATGACGTCACATATTTTTTACGTCAATGAATATAATTCTCACACTTTTTTGTTCTTTTTTTTTAAAATAAAATTAATATATAAAATTTAGATCTAAATAAAAATCAATTTTGAAAAACTAAATTATTTAACACTTTTTGTATCACTTGAGAAAATTAATTATGAAGGTTTTGTATTTGACAATAATTTCTGCAATTTCAATAATCAGCTTCGCTCTAGGCTACTGACTGAGGCAATGCCTGTTACATATTATTCTAAATGGGATTAATTAGCGATTGTTTCTAGCTTCACCTATGAAACAGCAGCATACCTTAGCTTTGTTTTATTCACTGTATCTTCTTTATGCTGTTACAGGCATCTTGATTCGACGTCAACCTTTAAATAAAAACCTCGAATAGATTTACGTATGCACCTAATTTAGACGTTTTGTTTATCGTTGCCATACGCCATTGCACTTCCGGGACTATATTTCCGCTTTGAATGTTTCGTATTTAAGATCTACTTTAAAACACCATCAAAAGTCAAATAATTTTGAATTATTAATTCAAAATTGATGAAGGTTGATTGAACAAATAAAATGTGTATAAAAAAAATATACAATAATGCAAACAAGGCTACGGAACTAATCAGGAAAGCCAGCTCTGTCTTTTTCTCTTCCGCCATAACCGAAAATAGGGTTAGTGAACATGCCATCATCTACTGAAATTAAAATTTGAAGCCCTTTCGTTATATTTTATCAATAAATATGGAATCTAAATAAATTTTCAATATTAACATTTTCATTTCCGATTGGTTAAATATTCCGATGTGTATGAACTGTTTCAATTTGTAACGGATTATGATCACAGATGATTGTAATGTTTACATATTACATGGCTAAATAACCGGAGTGATTTGTTTCTAAGCAGCTATACTGCAAAGCCTGGTTATGTCAATCTATATGTGTCTAATAATCTTAATAGTTAAAGATTTTTCATCAGTTTCTGCTTTCTATTCTATCCATTTTAGCCTTAACTAGCATGTGCCAACCAAAATTCAATTTTTGAGCTACAGACCTGAAATTTTGCACACAGTTAGAAAAACACCTGAGAATCATTAATCTTTTTCAATTATGACAATCGGTTCATAACTTTGTTTTTTGTAGCTAATTTTATATACCCATACGTAAGCAGCGTTTTCCCAAAATCCGTCAAAAACAGGCAAAATTGAAAAAATAATATTTTGACTAACTGAATGACTTTGGAACAGACTCAAATTGTACACAGATGTTCTAGAGACACACATTTACTAAAATCAACCACAAAAATATTGTTTTTACCTTTTATTTTGACAAAATTTAAAGCAAATCGGACATATTTTGTTCCGAAAAAACATAAAAATAATAACTATAAAAAAAAATCATTAAAAATAGTGGAAATTGTTTTTTGATGATTAAATGGAAACTGGAAACATGTTCTCATGGACAGCTATGAAATATCCATGTTCTCGTGGACAGCTATGAAATATCCATGTTCTCGTGGACAGCTATGAGTATGAAATATCAAAAATAAAATTATCAAAATAAATGCACTGAATCATAACTAACAAAACTCCAGAATTGAAGTTTTCAGTATAAAAATATAAAAAAACACAACAATTCAGCTAAATATCTACAAAATATTCTGCATATACTGAAAAAGTTTTGTAAATATGATTAAACAATACTGATAAAATGAAGGAAAACAGGCTGGAATACATGATACATGAGTTAATATTAATAATCTAATATACCGTATGTTAAATAATAAAAATATTGAGACAAACAAGATGAAAAACAAGGTATAAAGAAGTTAACTACAGGTATTTAAGTTGTCAATCATAAAGTCAAGTTAACAGTACTACCGGTAATGAAAAGAGTAACACTGTAAAAACTTCAGAACAGAAACAGGTGAAAAACAGTTATAAAAAAGTTGACAGTAATAAACATATGTTAGCTATATTAATAATATTAGTATAAAGTAATAATGGAAAAAGTAACTTTATATAAATAAGTCAATAATATTAGTTAAAAGTTATGGAAAAAAAGGTAAGAAAAAAACATTGAAACAATACATAATAAGTTAAAAACAATGAAAAATGTAACTTGTTATGAAAAATGTAACTTAAAATAAAATAATGAAATAGAACTGATCGAAAACTGTTGCCACATCAGGGTTTCATTGTCACATTTTACTTTAGAAATTATCATTCACAGTCTGCTATCACGGCTTAATTATGAGATCCCCTGCCTCATAATCTTCAACAAGTTTATAAACATAAACAGCTTTATCCCTTTTATATACTACATTATACCACTCATTGTACCCAGGCACACTAGATATAACCCGGCCATCAAAGGCAGTTCTGAGCTATGTTTGTTTTCGTAAAAAAATCAACTGCACAGTCTTAGAAAGTTAAAATTCTTCCTATGATCACTCATTATTAGCACGTGTGTAACTAACGGGTGTCTAACGGTACATTTGACACGCCCCCGCCATTACAATATGGCCGATAGAATTTCGGTCACATGGAGAAAAATTGAATTTTACCAATGTTCACGTCCACTTATGGAAATAAATGAAGATGGATCTTATAAAGGGATATTTAATCCATATTTGAGCAGGTTTTTTTTCGCTCCGCATCTTCCACGAAAAAAGTTACAAAATTTCAAACTTTTCAATCGGAGAAAAGAAATATTCTTACCTTGCTACGAGTGATAAATTTTGCATGCGGAGCAACCTTGACCTCTTAACTAACTGTTTTCGGTTGAATGGAACCGGTATCGATTGCAGGTAACCAACACGAGGCCGTAATGCAAGGCTAGCTTTTCGCGAAAAAATAGCGCCATATTTGTGACAGCCAATTAAGAAAAAAGAGTTACGTCCCTTTTTCGGTTGGCACACGTTACCTTAACATAGGAGTAAGGAGAGCTGAAAATCCTACTTATTACTTGGGGTGCAACACCATAAACTGTTAGATCTATAGCCTACCACAATATTTATGTTATAAATGAGCCTTAACTTAGTTTCTTTCATTTAGTCACTAATTAAACAAATTGGGTTGTATTTAACAAGTTATAACCATAATATACCAATAAAAAAAATAGACTGAAACTTAACCCTTGTGCGTAGCCTACATACAAGGACCAAGGGTTATTTCGGAAGGAACTGGTTAAAAATTGTCTAGTGTGAATTTTATACATTGTCAGCTACTTAATTGTTGAGTTTAATGCTGCAAATAGAATGGAAGTGAGGCAGTGGCAACATTAACCGTTTGGCAAGAAACTAAGAGTAATGATCGGAAACAAGGGGTCTTGTGGTAGGGTGACCCGTGCACCGCACAGAAAGTTGTTCTTGGCACGGCGAATGTACATGCTTCTGTGTCTTATCTTGAAGTGATTTCTTGCATACACTACGCACTCAGCGGTAGAGTCTATGATACTATAAATAGCCATCGCACGCGCAATTCTCTACACTTCTATCAACTATTACAGCCGTAAAAAATCTATTGTTGACGATTCTGAATAGCCGTAATATTTAGCTTATTGGTTATTACAGCAGCTTTAGAAATTACGTTCTTTTATTTTTAAATTGGTTTATCATTAACTGTACCATTAGGAGCTGCATCTTTTGGTTTAGTACAAATAATATCTCTGAAATACTTGGGTTAGACAGGAACATGATACTAGCAGTAGTTTCATTTTACTTTTAAAAGGTTCTTAAAACAATTGTTGAGTTGCCTAAGGTGCATGTTTCTAAATTCAATTTATTGTTCCAGCTTTCTGTCCTGTTTCGTAAAAAAATAGTCTTGATTATCCCGGCCTATTAATCAAACGTAGAATTATCGGTAGACCGGTTAAGCGCGAATACTTTTAAAACAAGGGCATGTAACCTATTTTTTACTCACACGTGCTCGGATGTTATGGGCGACACTCGGAACCATCTTTCAGTGTATTGATTGATGATTAAATGGTCATAGCTTATTAAATACAGCATGATCGTTTATTTAGTGACTATAAATGTTTGAAACTGATTTAAGGCCTAGTGTATATATAGATATTGTGGTGTAATTGTCGAGATATTTGGAGATATTTATTTATGGTGGGTCACCCTACTTGTGGATCCCCTTCCCTTGCCTTTAAACATTTTGCTGCTTTCAAGTATCTAATCTGTTCTGCCCTCGGTGCTAGCTTTGTATTTGGAATCTTTCAGTCTTATATGGTGTATGTCATTCTAGTAATCTAGATCTGAAAACATGGAAATAACAATTAAGTTATTTGCAGATTTTTATGGTTTCAAAAATACCTTATAATTCATATCTTCACTGTCAATACCTCAAATATTTTTTTTACTTTGATTATTATTCAGTTGTTATATGAAGGTGTAATTTGATCGTGTTTGAATAAAATTATTCGTCCAAAAACCAATTTATGTTAGGGGGCTTGCATTGCCCCTGTGTTGCTGACAATGTTTTTCGTGTGACTTGTCCGCACAAGGGTTAAAACTATAAGCATGCATTTTTGAGTGCAAAATAGGATAGGTGCCCTTGGTTTGAATGAATTAGTTTCCAAGCTAAACCAGTCTACCCACCGTTCTCAGGCAGATCGACAGGATGGGATAATCAAGACTAGTTTCTGCAAAACATTACAGAAAACTAAATCAATAAATCTAATTTAATAGAACATACCCTGGAATCATTTGGGGACTTGTATGTAACAAGTTATAACCATTTAAACATCAATAAAAAAAACAAATGAAAGAGTTAAACGGCAAGTAGCCATTACATCCGAGAATTTTTTAGTTTAAATTGGGATATGTGCCCTTGGTTTGAAATTAGTCATGCTAAACCAGTGTATCGACCATTCTTCAACTGATTGGCAAGCCTGTTACACCTCACAACAAATTGTAGGAAACCATGTTCTTTCATCTTGATAGATAAGGAGGAAACGATAATAATCCAGAAGAATGAAATTATCCAGACTTGCTTACATTCCCATGAGTGTACATGTGTTGTAAATGAATGGTAGATGGTACATTGTTTTAAAGGTTTTATCAAGTACAATAATTATTTTTATATTTTAGTTTGAAAGATGGCTGATACAGCGGCCAAGAAGAGCACTGTACCCTTTACTAAGGCTTATAAAAGGTATTTACCCACTTCAATTATCAATTCTGCAATGGTCTGCTGACCTCACAATACTGTGCCTATTACGGTATGGACTTCATGATACAATACGTATCACAGTATTGTGTGATTGACATCGGTACGGAGCTAATTAATTGAAAGTAAATTAAAAGTAAACATTATACGGTACACCCGTCAAGGCCAAGCGATGTATGTTCGTCAATTCCTAACGTTTATTGTGAAAATAAAATATGCGGTTGGGGGAGTGATTTCTGATGCCCAGGGAAAGCAGTAAAAAGCACACCTAG